TTTGAGTGGTGTGGTGTACGATGAGAAGGACACGTCTCGAATATTTTACCCCAGGACTTTTTCCACTTTAATTGATTCAATCGGCGAAAAACACGGGCGTCGAGTCGTAGTCGTAGTCAGAGTCGGAGTCGGAGTCGGAGTCGAGTCGAGTTTGCTTCACTGTTGTGAGCCACGATTTCTATATCCTATGTGTAAATGTGTTGCGTAGGTGAATTATAGTAGGCGAGAGGGGGGTGGGTGGGAAGGGGTATTGGGAGGGGAATTTATTCCAAGCGTAAAACTCAGCCCACTCCAACATCTAACACGATTCCAGCAGCCAACCGGTGTAACGAGAATCCTGAACCAACCAACCCCCCTGCTCCCCCTTTAACCTCCTTCCCACCCTTTTCGATGGAAACGCCAAGCCCCTCTTTGTGGTTTATGTCTTTCTCACTTTTGCACAACCGCGCATATCTTCCATCCTATATTTATCTATCTATCTATCTATCTTTGTTCAATTGCAAACACGCCACGTACACACACACACACATATATAAATAATATCTCACCCTGTTAATGTTGCATCGAGTAGGAAGCAGCAGCAGCAGCAAGTTGCGATATTATCTATCTATCTATCTATCTGTATCTATCTTTGTTAAATTGCAAACACTCACACACACACACACACACATATATATAATATACGTTTACTCTCCCTAAGATAATATTTCAGCCTGGTAATGTGGCATTGGATGCGGATGCATACAACAGCAAGTTGCGATATTATCTATCTATCTTTGTCCTATTAGAAACATTCACACATAGATATACATACATAGGATAGAGAATCTATCTCCCTCACTTCTCTGACAATATGGCTGGCGTTGGGTGCACCTAACGCAGCAACGTTGCGATATAATATGGAAACATTTATACACAGAAGCATAATGCTGAGAAATGTTGTTGCTGGTTTGCGTAAATCCTCCCTCGAGAAAGGTACAAAGTTATTTCTCTTTCTATTTCTCTCTCTCTCTATAATATATATGTATAAATCTGTGTATGTGTGTAGGTGTTGGTTAGAGAAAGATAGAAAGGGTTCAACCATAGTTATATAAAGTCAGCAAATTTCTCTACCCAGTGGTGGGTTCCTGTGTTATTATTGGTGTGTTGCTGGTGCTGGTGCTGGTTCTGGTGGAGGTGATGGTGGTGGTGGTGGTGGTGGTGTTGCTACTGCTGGTGGAAACTCGTCTCGCGGATTTTCCGTTTGTTATTTTAATTAGAGCCTTCGGGGCCCCTCTTAACGAGAACCCTGTCTCTCTTTCTCACTCTTTCTCTCTGTCTGTCTCTCTCTCTCTCTCTCTCTCTCTCTCTTTCTCTCTCTCTCTCTCTTTTCATTCTAGTATTTCTGCAACGTCGTTGTTTCTTCTCGGATTTATTTTCCTCGCCTTTATTCCTACGGAATGACAAGTAAATTATAGAAGAAGATGATGGGAACCACGAGAAGAAGATGAGAATAATTTTTGTGGGAGTGAGAGAGAGAGAGAGAGAGGGAGATGATTGCTATCATTTACGCGAAAATCTGAACTATCTCTCTTTTTGTTCATAATAAATGAACATTTATTATCTAAAACTTTTGACTCTCCCCCCTTCGAGCCCTTAGTCAACCCTTTCTTCTTCTTTTTCTTCTTCTTCTTCTTCTTTTACTTTTACTTTTACTTTCTCTTCCGTCATATTTTTTGTTCCATTTTTTTTTAATACAATTTTTTGACTTCTTTCAACTTCATGTTTCTTTTCTAAGGATTAAGTTGGAACATACTTTCGTTGATTTTTTTTTCATCTGATTCATCTTTGATTTCATGCTTTACCTATTTTTTTAACTCTTTTTTAAGAATAATAGGAAAGGGTTAGAAAACTTTTATACATCTATATATATATATATATCTACTTCTTTTCTATTTCCCTGTTGTTTTTTTTTCTTTTTTATTCCCATTAACTATCTTTCCATAATCCACATCCTTAAGAGGAAAAGGGTTAAAGGATTGAAAAGAACATTTTCCAGGCAATATATATTTTTCTTACAAAAAATTACAACCCTTTTTTTTTTTACTATTCTAAACCATTCTAGTTTGTTTTCTTCCTTCCTCTTCCTCATCCTCTTCCTCATCCTCTTCCTCATCCTCTTCCTCATCCTCTGTTACCTTTTATTTACCCCTTTTTTTTTTTTTTTTTTAATAACCAGAAAAAAATTCAAATTTACGGCAACAAATCAAAGTCAAAGAGTTCAAGGATCCATTTGTTTTTTTTTCCTTCTCCAATCGTTTGGACAACATTATTTATTTTTATCATTTTATAGAAAGAAGAAAGAAGAAAGAGATACAAAAAAGAAAGCGTGCTCCTTTTTATTTTTTTTGCTCTCATATCACCGTTAAAAAGTCATTTCATCCTTTCGTTAAAAATTTTACTAATCCGCCGCTCACCCCCCCCCTCTCTTTTCCTTTGTCGTTGATACTTTTTTTTCTTTCTTTTATTCGGTCAGTGTCAGAGACTAATAAAAAACAAAAGGATGAGGGAAAAACTCGAAAGTAACAGCCCTTTTTATGGAACATTTTTAAATCCGTTAAAAAGGACAACCCCTTGAGTGTACGCGCGTTTTAATTGTGGTATGCGTATCTCATATAGAATACAATTTTTTTTTTTCTTTTTAGGTTAACAAAATTCTTTATAAAGATATATTACAAAACGTGCAACCATTGTTTGTTACTTTTTGGTAGAAATAAAAAAAAATTTGACTTACGACGCTGCTCTCTTCCTCAAATTTCGTGTTGCATCTACACTGTCCTGACTTTTCTTTTATTTTCTTTTCTTTTCTTTTTTTTTTTTTTTTAAACGAAAAAATACGGAAAAGGGTTAAAAAGTAACGTTTCTTTTTTTTCCACAACTCGTCTCATTCAATCAGTACATTCGTCAACCCTTTTTTTTCTAGTTTCCTCTCCTTTCGCTTTCGTGACTGCATATTCAAACGAATTCTTAAATTCCTAAAAATACTAACCATTCAACAACGATTCCTAAAACTTCTACTGATATATTTTATTCGTGTGTTTGGAATGTTACTTTTAAGTTGAATATTTTTCGACACACATTCGTGATCGGTATTTATAATAAAATAAGAATTGTTATGAGAATTATATTGCAGGATTTTTAAAAATTCATTAAACAACACTTCCCCACGCAAAAAAAAACAAACATTAAACGTATAATAGATAGTATAAACGTATAATAGAATTGCAATCCTAGTAATGAATTATTTAGAACACTGTCCCAACATTTATAAATGAACAAAATTCCAAGCCCAATAAAACAGCAACCCTCTAAGGAAAAAAGAAGAAGAAAAAAAACAATACTCAGGAAGCATCTAATGAAGCGGGCAAAGAAGAAAAAAAAAAACAAAAAAAGAAAGAAAGAAGAAAAATAGGAGCCAACGACGACGGGTCTCTCGAGTATATGGACCCGGGCCAATATTGATAAAATAAGGCGGTGGAATATTTTGAAATCGGATATTTTAATTTGTAAATAGAGTAGATTATACCGATTTTATTTCCATTGTGGCGGCGGTAAGAAATTTCACAAAGGGTTTCTTCTCTCTCTCTCTCTCTAACATAAGAGAAAAATTCGGAGTTTCTTAATGACCCACCCGGATGCGGATGGCTCCACCTAATAGTGTAGTGTCGTATTCGTTTCCAAAAGAAACCCCACTCCACCCTTCTAAACCCACCCCCTCCCCTCCCTGCCCCCGATTACCGATCTCTCAAAGTAATACCGCGATTCTTCGTTTCACGTTAGAAGCACAGAATTTTTCACCACCTGGTATCGTATTACAATTCTTTCTTTCTTTCTTTCATTCTTTTCCTCAAATATAATTCGATTTAATTCGAGCGTACTTTCCCTTCCAATCCTTGCAAGGATTGTATTTTATTATTTTTATTTTTCTTTTTTTCCCCCTCTGTTAAGAAACCATTTCCCGTTCCTGTCTTTTATTTTTTTCTTTTTGCGCGTGTTTCATTACACCTAAATTTTCAATGTTTTTTTTACGGTTTTTATAATACAAGAAAAGAAGTTTTTCTTGTATTGATGATATCTCTTAATGATTAAATTATAATTTTTCTTATAAATATATTGTACATACGTAATCTTAAACATTTCACTTAATTAATTATTAAAACAAAATATCTATATTAGATTTTTAATTGTTGTTTGCTTTTAAATGTATATAGAATTTAATAAGACATTAGCTTTGTGTAAACTACTAGTTACTAAAAGTTACTAGGAAATAAGAAAGTTTCAAAAATATTGAAATTCTAGTAACATGGCTACGGCGAAATTGGTAATAGTAGTGCTCTACCTTTACCTTACCGACCGAGATTTGATGGTAAGTTACCAACAGAATTACCGACAGTAAAAAAACCTTTCGCAGAAAGAATTGAATGAGTCTTTTAATTGCTCATTAATTGCTCATTAAAAATCTCTAATTGTTTGCTGTAATTATTAATTATTCATTAGTTATTATTATTTAAAAATTTTCTCCGTCGGTAATACGACTTACCGACCGAGAAGATTTAAATTATTAATAACTAATGAAATAATTAATTACCAAGGTGAGCAATTATAAAAGATAAATGAGCAATTAATGAGCAATTAAAAGACTCATTCAATTCTTTCTGCAATTGCAAAAGTTCAAATTAAGATTAAGATTTAAAACTTGTAGGATATTTTTTCTTTTTTATTTCGAACGATATTATTAGTCTCTGAAAGCATAAAAAGTCAAAAATACCCAAAATAAGAACCACCTTAATATGTATGTACGTATATACACGTACACAGTACAATATTAATCATTTAACAATAACAATAGTAATAATAAAAGAGAATAGTGAAATAATTTATACTCTAATACATTTTCGCGAATAATTCGATTAACATTCAATTAATAGAATCATTTTTTCTAACAATACAAAAGTGTAACATTTCATTTCTCTATTAAAACTTTCTTTACATTTGGCATTATTTATCTTAAAGATCATCGATGTAATATCAAAATAAATTCTTTACCCAAAACGGATTATTAAGTAGCAGTATTATAAATGTATAATATATAAAAAATATGTATAAAATTATTATTGGAAAATGCACCCTTTTTTTGTAACCACTAAACGATAAATTTTAATGAATGTAAATGTTTTTTCTTTTATTTTTTTTTTAGCTGCACAGATCCAAATGAATAATAGTAAGCTGTGTATGTGTATATCACCATATCTCAATTAACTTAATATCAAAGAATATTATATTATATTAACAAATGAATTGGTCGTAGTATTAACAATTATAAATGCTTTAAAAACGTACTTAAATAAATACTGTCTTTGGACATGCCTGTGATATTACCAAAAGCCCTTAAATATATATATATATATAAAATAAGAAAATATTTCCTAAAGTTTTAAACGACAAATGTTAGTAGTTATGGGACACCAACAAACTGTGCAGCTAAATGATGACAATGTACAAAGTGTATCGTAATATCTTGAATGTAGTTTTCAAGCCAATTGCATATACCAAAAAACTTTGTTGAAATATTTCAAATCAAACGATAACCATAACTTTTTAATGCAAATCAAATTTAGTACACGTATTCACATCGAATTTCTTTCGTTGCTTATGGTTTGTCTTTTTGTTTCTTTTTTACATACACTCTAAAAATAAATTACACACGTATTAGGATACACCTTGTACGAGATATTATTTGTTTGAAAATATAAACTGATTTAAAAGTATCATCAACCTTGAGGAATATGCTACAAGCATAAAAAGTACTAAAGAAATATGATCTCTCTACTTGATGCAATAAAATAAAACGTTGAACATCTTTAATAAGCGAATCGCAATTTGCTATCGTATCCTAACTTGTCAAGATTAGGATTGCAAGCTATGTTTATCATTGGTACAGGACCGCACATTAATACAATAGTATCGGGTGATGGTGGGAACATGTGTTCTTTGATCATATCTGCATTAATATGTCCCGTACTGTAAGACCAATTTTCACTGGCTGTATCTACCGTATACCATATCTTCAAATGATGTTGATAATCTCTGGCTAAATCGTCCAATTCATCTTTCAACAATATATCTTTCTCTGTTTGGTTTGCAAACAATAAAGATATTTGGGTACTATCCATCGGCTCGTTTAGTATAGCTGTGATTAACTGCAACATCGGTGTTATACCAGTTCCACCGGCTAACATAACAATCTAGAAAAAAAATATATAATTATATTAAATTATTCTTTTATATTGAAAGATAAATATATTATATTGAAAATATATAAGATAAATATAAATACATATATTGAAAAGATTAAATAAAAACCTTTTTGACGTCGTAATCAATTGGTGGATCCTTCCTGAGAAGTTTGATAGAGAATTTTCCAAATCCTTTGTAAATGAGTCGACCAGAGGGACCCCTGATGTCTATGGTATCACCGATCTTCATATCTTCCAAATACTGAGACATTTTACCACCTTCTGGGAATTTGGGATGCACGTTTTTAAAGTAGACCTATAAAATGAAATCTTTACGATAAAGGAAATATTTTCTAAGTAATACACGATTTACAAAAATGATGAAATTACCTTAATGACAAGATCAAAGTATCCATGATCATCGTCACTGGAAACAGGAGTGTAGGAACGTATGACTATTTGATCATCAATCTTAGTAGTCAGATGTATATGTTGTCCAATGGGAAGACCAAGAACATGATTTTCCGTAGGCAAACCAAATCTAAACTTCCTAGTATCATGACTTAAAATTTCTTTCTTTATCAATGGTACGCTGTATTTAACGACCGAATCTTCTAATAGTACTGGAGGTTTTTTCTTCTTTGATTGTTCAGTTTTAGATATATAATAATATTTAATAGCAAAAGTGATAGCAAGTATAGTTCCGACCGTAGCCAATACTGGTAGAATCTGAAATAAAAAAAAACCAATGATGAAATATTGGTCCCATAAATTAATTAAAATACGTATAGAAACATATAATTCCTTACAACTAATTAATTAATATTTTAAATAGATGATCGATAATTATAATAATTTCAGTATTACATCAGAGTTATGCATTGATACTAAAAATATATAAGTATTTAATTATAAGTATTAATCTATGTACCAATTGCTTCTCTATTACACATAGATATTTTATTTTATTCAAATACTTATTAGAATTGTTAGCAAATATTTAATAAATCTACAAACTATATCTATCTATCTATATATATATATATATATATGTAAAATAAGATATAAAAAACTACTGTGCCATCATTGATTTCCGCGTTTGGCACAACCTCATTATCATTTCCACTTTCTAATCTAAAAAAAAATGTTTCTTAAAATAAAGAATGTATCCAAAATCCCAATCAACATTTAAATCCAACATTGAAGTATCAATTGAACAATAATCTTATGTAAATCATTGTCAAAAGAAGTTATAGAAATGGGAATAAATATTCTACAGTCGTATAACTTACCAACGTACGCAATGCTGACATAGTGATTCACCGTTGCACGTGGTAAATGCACTTGTTAAAAAGCTAGACGACGAAGTATGTAATAAAATTGTAACGATTGAGACTAAGGTCACGATAGAAGACAATGTGTCTCGTTAAACGAAAGATTTTCAAATGGTGAAGAGAGACAAATATATATATATATATATATATATATATATATGTACGTATATGATATATATGATATATATCATATATATATGAAAGAGGTGGAGATAAAAGAAAATATATATTATTAGGATCAAATAGTTAAACGTCTATCTCGTCAGGTGAAGAATAGAGAATAGAAGGAATTCTAAATTTTAGTGCTAAGTATTATACACGCATGAGATAAACGAAGATAGACAGTGTAATACCCACTATGTAGTAAGTGAATATAACATATATATATATATATATATATATATATGAGTGAGTAGTAAGATAGTGTGAGAGAAAAAGAGAGAGTGTGTGTGTGTGTGTAAGTGAAAGAGAAATAATGCAAGTAATAAGAGAGAGAGAGAGAGAGAGGTGTAGAAAGACAAGTAGAAATTTCTAATACATGAATAGTCGACACGAAGGGTCAGAACAGGGCGCTAACCCTTTAAAATAGAATCCGTTAGCCTCGATCTAAGAACAGTTGTCTATGCCGGCCATTATTTATAGATCAGATTAGTCTGTGCACGCGCGAGTTTTAAATGATTCGTTCATTGTATTATTTTCTTTTTCTCTCTTTCTCTCACCATTTTTTTTTTCTTTCCTTTTTTCTTGTACTATTTTTTGTACTATTTCTTTTACTATTTCTTGATCTTAAACTACACACCTGAATCCAGTTTGGCGCGGTAAGAGCTTTTTGGGTCTCTTCGATCGTCATGATTGTTAAGCAACTTGTTATTTGAAGATTAACTAAATGAAATGATATTCTTATATTAACTTTATACTATTAATCTTAATTACGCAATAATTGTATGACATAAGATGTTGGATTATGAAAATAACATGGGAGTTATTTATTATAGGAGGTCAAAGTATTACGCGTCTCGTTGACGCCATGTTGGATAGAGGGGGCTATGTAAAAATGGCGCGAATCTTCTTTTTTGAATTGGTAATGATATTATATTTCGATTAATTGATCGATATCACGATATCGATTTAACATTTATTATATATAACATACAATAGTAGGATGAAAACTAATTTATTTAGTAATTGATTATATTTAAATGCAGTTGATTTATAGGGATTTTATTAGTAATAAGTTATGTTAATTTATTTATGTTAATTCATGTTAATTAATGTTAATTCATGTTAATTAATGTTAATTTATGTATTACCAGCAAACCATTTATCGATTCTAATTTTTTCTATATTTATCATTTTGATCTGAAAACATTCTATTTATTTTTTGTAAAACTATACGTCACTTATATTTATATGCACATTTATTCACACACATACGCATACACTTGTTTTTTCTCTTTACAAAATCATCGCAATAATTCATGACACGTCAATTCTTATATATTTATTTGTTACATGTATTTATTATTAAATTTCACGTGCCTCGCGTATTTAAGCGCACGCATATATCGTTTATTTTATTTTCGAATACTAATGGCACAATTAATTGCGACATCAATTTACTAATTGTATATGTACATGTATATTTAATAATTTATTTTACAATGATTTACCTCTTCTGATTCTTCTGTTCCTTTGTCTGTATCCATTTTTTTCCAATATAAAAAAGAATACGAGAATTTGTAGTTATCGCAAATTAATTTTTAATAGAAAAAAGAAAATATTTGTAGAGTTCAATGAATGCAGCATCCGCTGGACAGTCCATTAAATAACTGATTGAAAGGAAAGAATAAAATTTGTGATTAGTCACGTACTGAAGGCTTATCTAACGGGTGTCTTTTTTATATTAATTTTTCTGTGATCAATTCATAATAGATTTATCAATAAAAATTTAATAAACATCTGATTTGTAAATTTACATAATTCTGACTTGTAAGTTTTATTATTAGATTATATTTAAAAACAAAAAATGATAAAAAGTACATTTTAGATTTAAAAAATATATGAATTATTTTATAAATGAGTATTGTATTCATATAAAAAGAATTGTAAGTAATTTTAAAATATTAATTAAGAATTTGTATATATAAAATTATTTGATTTTTTTCTTTATTCAAAATTCGTGCCATTTTTTATGGGAAAGCAGCGACGTCTGGTAGATTTTTAATGAATCATTCAAATTTGTCGATAGATCGCGCTTCGATCGCCGATAGATCGCGCTTCGATCATCGAAAATAAAGGAAAGGATAAATTAAAATAATGTTGGTTTCTTTATCTAATGTTTTTACAAATATACGTCTAATGGAATTCGAATAATGAATGGTTTAATTTTTTTTTATTTATATGTATATCCGTGGTTCAATATTTTATCAAATAGTTGAAATAAAAAATAGTTTAAATGCCGCTGATACACCGTGCGTTATTTACATGGTTTATTTTGTTAATATTTCTGGTATTACTCGTTTTAAGACTCGATCAAAGAATACAATGGAATTGGGCTATAGTGTTTATACCTATGTGGTTATATGATCATATAATACTTTTTTATATCCTTTTTAATATGGTCTCCTATTGCAAAAATGGAAGAGTTAGTAATGTGCGTAAAGAAGTATGTCCATTTTCTTTTTGTTTTGATTTATATTAAAAATGTTTACGTTATTGTATACTTAATTACAATATTGTATCAAGAACGTAGTAATTAAAAATTTTTGATTATAATTTTGTTATGTTGTTTCAGATTTGGTATATGACTGCAATACTTATGAAACTATGCGCACAAATATTAATTTGTATAAAGTTAGAATATACACTTACTTCCTATTTACCAGCCAAATTATTCTTAGCACCTTTTTGGTTGCTTTTACCAATTCTTGCGGTGGATGTTTTCATTCATTTAATTAAACACTGTAGATATTGACAATAACCGGACTTTAACTTGGGTTTCATGGCTGTTTCATAAAATGTAAATAACATTGATACGTATAGGGTAATTTATCTTGAAAAAATATCTTTGGACTATCGTTGTTTTCTTCATGAAATTGTATGTTTACGTTAATGTGAACTTAAGATGTCAAACTTGAACTCGAATGTTATAAAATTGAATAGGATAATATAAAAAATATATATATAGCGAAGAGAGAGAGCATTGAAATGTTGTGATCACAAGATGCCATCTGGTATCCTATAAATACTCTCTCTATTACACAAGGATAGCTATAACGCAGTTATAAATAAGTAACTTGGTGGCAATCTTCATAGTAGAAACTTTGAAAGTTATCAAGTTAGAACATAATCATTCTTTCAAAGTAATCCATTCGTTTAAATATTTATTATATTACTCTCCTAACATTTTCACAGAAAGACTTCATTGTGTTATATATTTAAAAAATGGTGAGAAATTCTATACTTAAAAAGAAAAAAAATAAGGAAAATAATCCTTGAGTTGTTATGTAATATAGTTTTATTGATAAAAAAGTATTTTGCTTAGTGTTACACACGGATTAATTATTCTCCTACTTATCTGAATTATGCAAACTGGTTTTACTGTCTGAAAGTTCTGGCAATGAAGGTGATCAATGTAATTAGAATGTAATTGCTCCATTGCCATGGAAGATCTATTAATATCGTAGCATAGATATTCTTGTAATATGTCAGTGCAGTTATAACGTGTAATGTAATATCATCGTGGTGCTGTCTTACTTCTGTATTTTTTAATATTACTTTTAATATAGAATTATTAAGTGCTGTTTTATTGAATCTAACAATTTGTTAGATTTCGTTCCTGTTGTTGTTTTACGCTACAATTATTTTAAATAATTGTTTGATATATTATTTTTCTTGTAGGTGGCAATGCAAATACTTTTACTTTTCTATTTATCCATGGTTTTACATAGAAAAGGTGTAGCCAATGCAGTGGTTACAGTCGAAGAAGTTGCAGTTGGTCATTTAGCTCAACTTCCATGTCAAAGTAACGACGATCAACATCGATTTATGTTTTGGCAGCTTACTGACGACAGTCGTATTATCGGTCCAGGAAATCCTATCGATTTCAATAAATATAATTATGAAGTGTTAACCGGCACACTTTATATCAGGGTAATTGTTATCATTTGATTTTGCGCTTCATATCAAATACTTAATTAACTTAAGGAAAATATTAATTTATCGATAGGGAGTATCAACTGCCGAAGCTGGTTTTTATAAATGTGTTTCCAGAGGTTTAAAAGATCATTCTTCCGTTAATGTTCATGTCGTTGAATTAATAGTTAAGAAAAATTGGGAAGACGTTTGGGAAAATGATTTTGAGGTAATTTTCAAATACATCTTTAATGTAGAACCCGATTATGATTTTCGTTATTATATATTTCTTGTTTTTTTGTTTAATTATCATAGGCAAATTTGTTGAGAGGAATGGCTGCGGTGATGGTAGTGGTCGTAGCTGTCGCTGTTATCCTTTTAATCGTAATAGTCAAACGAAAGAGGAATCAAGGATTTTTTGGTAATATTACCGTCTCATAAAATAATACTACGTTCTCTTCGTTAACGTTTTTATTTTATACAAATGATTTGATATCAAACATTTTTCTAGATTTGAATGAATCGAGAGATAATTCGCCAGAAAGATTTAGAGGAAATATTATAAACACTTCTGCAGCTATACCGGCGCAAGGAATGGTAAACATAAGCGCAGATGGAGGAATAGAAAATCCTACTCTCGACATAGATTTTCCCAAGGTATTTAATCAGATGCAGAAAGATCAAGGATTACCTTAATAAATTTATCTAATTCAATTGTATTTTTAAAATTATTATAAGTTAAAATCAAAGAAACAAAACAAAGAGAGGAACGAAATAAACTAAAGAGAAACGCGTTAAGCAATCGCACAGTATTAAATTCATACTGTTGTAAAATCTTAAGAGAAAATAATAATTTATTATATAGATTGTAATAGAATTTTGCAATGCAACCCGTGTTTTTTATTGTATATACAAAAAATAAATCCTTTTATTAATTTTAGATTTTAAATTCTACTTGGAATATCTTCAATCATCAATTATATTTTTCTATATATACATATATTATTTGTCTGTACAAATATTTTCAATATTATTCATTATACAAAAAAAGAATGATAAATTTTTTTAATGAAGCGTATGAACACGAATATAAACGAATATTTTTGTATATTAAGTAGTTGTATTTAGACTCGGCGTTGTATCCATCATATTATCATCAATTCCATCCTCATCTTCGTCGTCTTCATCTTCTGGTTCTACTTCCGTTTCAAGCAATCTTATTTTTCTATTATTCTCGTTAAGAATTGCTGCTACTTTTCGAGCACCACTAACAGCCAATCGTCTTGCAGAAATACCTTGAAATGATTTTGGCCAAATGGCACCCATAAGATCAGTTAAACATACCATAGATTGGCTTTGATGATCTAACAATTTTACATGACTCGTTGGTAACTGTAGAAGAGTTGAAGTATAATTTTGTTTGTTCAATAAAAGAAGACTAAGATAATCTTGAGAGTAGAACTGTAAATCAGCTATAGCATTGTCAATGGGACCTTTTGTAAAAGATCCTATAAAGAAAAAAGAATGTTTTAATCATCGTTAAGTTAAAAAACAAAGTATTTAATATTACTACAAGTATTTTTAACAAACCTTGTTTGTTATCAACATCAATCATAGCGGATTTGAATGATAGAGAAACGGATGACGTATTTGTGAACAACGATTCGATTTGATATAGTCGTAAACATTTACGTTCGACGTCGGAACTTGCTATTAATAAATTACCATCGCTCGTAACTATTTGAGAAGATAATACACTTGTCGTAGGAACCAAAGATGTTTGTAATACTGTGAAATGATTAACCAAATCTTCGTAGGCAACTGCGAATACGTCGTGTATGGCATTGACTAGTTTTTCATGAGATTGTAATAAAGAATAATTTAAATCTTGTTTCATTATAAGCGGATGATCACGAAGACAATGATTCTCGTCTAACATGGATGCCCATTCGCTTCCTTCAGGTGTCAAGCAAGCTTGTAAAGGCTCGTGTCTTAAATATTGTCCTAATTTTTCTAAATTCACACCTTTCCTACTACCAGTGCTTGGTTCAATTTTATCAAATCCTTTAAGAAATTCGGCGATGAACGTTAACTCCTGTTGACTCATACGACTTACTTCTGATGATATTCTTTCATCAGTTAATCTTTGGATCTCGACGTACAACCATCTTAAATAATACAACGAATGAAATGATTTTAAAATATAATGAGAAATGTTAATTGTTAAAGTAAAAAACGATGAGAAGGTTTACCTAAAAAATGCTTTATAATCCCGCATGCTATGATCGATTACTTGTTTCATTTCAGAAGCCTTGGCTAAGAAAGCTTCAGACGCGTGAAGGGCCTTCGTTATGAGACTTTCATTCTTGAGACCGAGAGACTCATAAGGTCCACCTAATCTCACCATACCACGAATTTCAGCTAATTGATAGACCAATGCCATTCCGACACTATTCAAATTTTTCACTACTAATTTCTGTACAAAATAAACAATTATGTCATCTAAGTTCATTTTAATTTGAATTGATTTCATTTCATTAGTTTAATTAATATTTGTAAACCTGTATATTACTGTAGCACATCTCGATACTGTGACCTAACTTTTTCAAACCTTTCTCGGTCAGATCACGCAATAGAAAGTTTTCTAAATTTTGTGTTGGTATGCCAATCATCAATAATTCTAAAAAATCTGCTGCGACTGCACCAGGCGGATTGCTTTCAGCGTATCGAGCAAGTTTATCGTCCATCTCTGAAATAATCGTCTCCCAAGCTTCAGAAATAGCCATTAATGTACGCGAGAGATAATCCATCAAACATTCTATGTTCGCTTGCGCTTGAGCTACCTAATAATAGATAAATAAATAAAAGTAATGCGTTTCCTAATTGTGAATGATACAAGATAAATAAATCTTTTAAAATCATGACCTTTAGGAATGCAGAACTTTTTTCAAGTAATGGACAGGAATATCTGTTAACAACAATGCTGTTGTTATCTTTCCAAGTAATCCAAATAGGTTTACCAGATCCTCCGCTGATTTCAATAATCGTACCATTTCCCACAAATATATTTCCACAGTAAAACATTCCAAAGACGTACATCATTGCTGTTCCATTGTCTCTACCAAGCTAATTAATTACAAAATTTGTGTATACAAAATCTCCCTTCTATTAAAATTGTTAATAAGTAATATTAACCATTTGAGTCACAGGAGTTTTTAGAAAAATCGTGTCGATAAATACCAAGTGAAGTGACCAAGGATTGCAGTTCAATAACGTTTGTTCTCAATCGATTTGTCTGGGACTCGAATGGGTTTCTACAGAAACAAATATTAAACTTACGAATAAAATATCTAAAGTTTGCGAAAGAAGTTCCTTGCGTTCCGACTCTTGACCAATGTTACGATTTAAATTAGGCAATGAAGGAAGATAATTACCAGTAGAGGAAATGTTACTTTTATTACTGACAAAGTTATCGCACTCTGTATTCATCAATGGCAGCCACGTTATACTTGTAATAGAATTCTGAATCGACAATTGTACTTTATATATAATATTCTTATTCTCGATATCAACGAGACAGAAAAGTTTGGAACACTCGTAACAAACAGCTAATAATTTACCATCCGGTCTCCACGTTAAGTTTACGGATGTGTCAGACTCATTCTGCGGACTTAACAACCATACCCTTTGCCAAGTTAATCTGTGCAATGCAACTTCACCTGAAAAGATCTTTAAACATAATCTATCCATTGTATTGTTTATTATTTTATAAAATAATTCATTGTAATGAAGTTAAATTGTTCACCTTTAACATTGGCAACTGCTAACAAATCCATTTTAGGTGACCATTTCATTATAGTAATTTCTGTTGGAAGTTGACGTTCTTCCAATTGTCTCATTGCTCCGGACATTTTGTTATTAATTTCTAATAATAATAATTCTAAAATTTATATATTAATTAATCATAATAATTGAGTTTCAATAATGTTTCATATATGAGAAGCACACATGAGAGCTTTTGTTATTGTTTTGGTAGTGCTGCCAACGTAAAATGCGATTCTTGAAAATAATTTTTTAAAGTAAGTTGGTAACGCTGATCGATAAATGATTGGTGGAACGATTCTGAAATCAATTTAAATCGATTAGTTATTTATATTTATTTAAATAGAAACAAAACTTTAATATTTAATTATTAAAGTTATGTTTTTAATTAATATTGTAATAAAAGATATAAAAATGAGTCAAAATTGATATATAAGTATATTGATATATATGTATTTTTATATTATATATTATATTTTATTAGAAGTAATTGAATAAAAATGTTTGTTAGTTTACATAAAAAGAAAATTGTATTACATTAGTCAAATCAATTTTTGTAAATTAGTTACAATTCGAATTTATATATATATATTTGAAAGAAAGGAATGCGCGCAATAAAGAAACAAGTAACAAATATTCTTGCCAAAAGTAATTCACAATGAATGTCAACAACGAAATGCGGAAGAGAGTGTGGTGTTTAAAATTCGAAATATAAATTCATATTGAATTTTGAGTTGAGGGAAACATTAAAAGAGATATAATATCCTTGACAAATATTACATGCGAATTAAATACATTTAAATTGAAGAAATAATCATAAGAATTATAACGATAATAATGATAAGAACTTAATGAAAGATTTTAATTAAAATTTGGTAGTACATCATCATCATCATCTGCTGTTATATGTGTTTTTAGAACCGAATAGGAAAAACTGTTTGAATATCGATACTAACATAAGTGTAACCGGAATAGAACATTGTAAAGTAGGTCATCAGGAGTGTAGACGTAATTGGAGCAAATACTTTCAGCATTAGATCTTGTCATCAAGATTTAAATTGTCCTCCATTGTGAACTTTCAATATGCTATCATAATTTTATAAGCATATTATTTAATACTATTTAATATTATTTCATTAAAAAAAAATATCATTTATTACATACGTGTACGTGTTTATATTACAGAATAATAAGAAAAAAAGAGAGAGATAAACGTATAGAATGGTTTGTAATGAAAGTTATTGGAAACCAAAATGGCTGCCCATTCCAGCAGGTACAAGAAGAATAAAAAAGAAGAAATTACAATTATTATAGTATTACAATAAAATATAGATTGTTTAAAAAGTAATAATAAAAATACGAATATTTTTGCGACTGATCGTATATACCGATCGCATGTTAAAACAATAATAATAATAATAATAATAACTAATAATAATATTTGGCTTGTTGCAACAGGTATATGCAAAATGATAAAGAGGAAAAGAGAAAGATAGATATAAAATGATGGTGGGGGCAAAAAGGCAAGAAGAACCACGTGACCCACCCGATCATCAGCAGAATCCGCGGCGTCCGCCGAAAATCTAAATTCGTCTGAGCCGAGAAGAAGAAGAAGAACAAGAAGAACCGTCTCCTCACCGGGTCTCAGTACCCATGGACAACTAACATTAACAAAATTACATTCATACATACGCATACACAGATTCTAAGGAACATTCAGAGTGAGTGTGAGAGAGTGTGTGTGTGTGTGTGTGTGTATGTGAAAGAGAGAGAGAGAGAGAAGGAACTTAGTCGATAATCGTCCTTAGGGTGAACCAGATCTCTCTCACGTGTCTCCTATCATCTTGCACGCGGCCAAGTTCTTCATTTTTTATATTTTCAATATCCGATATAGAAGAAGAAGAAGAAGAAGAAGAAGCAGCTAGGAGAAAGATCGGATATTATTTAATTTTTTCCTCTTTTTTTTTTTTATCCCCCTATTCCTTACCCTACTTTAATTTTGTTTTTTTTTCCGTGCGTGTATGTGAAGAACTGTAACATTTTTGGGGGTGGTTTTGTTGTTGATTGGTGGTCGTTCTCGTTGGATCGAGGATTTTTTCAAATAGAATTTAATTGAATCCAAAGAAGGATGATACGAGTCGATGAAACCGATCCTGTTGGCGGTAAGATCATTGTTTTTTTGTTTCATTTGAAAATTCTTTTATTTTATTTTGTAAGAGAAAATCCCATTTTTTTGTTTGTATGTGAAACAAGTTGCGTTTAACTTTTGTTCAATATATATTATTTCATCCCTATTCTTACGTGTTATATATTTGTATAGTGAAATTTATTACTATTTTTTGTATCTTTATCTTGTTAATGAATTTCGAATATTATATAACAATTTGAAAAAGGCGGGAAAGAAAAGAACTCTTCGATTCTACACACACACAGAGACAGACACAAGTCTGTAATTAAGAAAAATGTGAATTATTTTCAGAATTGGAACCCAGTTTCCCGTACAGGGACGTTAGAGTACGTCGAGGAGTTGAATTTAATGAACAATATGACATCCAATCAGAAATTGGTCGGTAAGTTTAATCAAATAAATTTCATCATAGACATAATCATAATTATTATTTACCTTGTCAAGAAAATATTATGCCAAGGATTAATTTTGATACTTGAATTCATTTTTAATCACCACGGAGATGATCATTGAACAAGCGCGTGAGCGTGCACACACACACACACATATACATACGGTGCTCTAAATAATTTGTAAACACAAACACATTCTTCAAATAATTATTCCGATATTAAATTAAATTGAAGATACAATATATATATATCGTTTTATTTTAAAAATAATTTGCAAAAGACAAAATATAAATTATTAATATTAATTATTTTTCCCCAACATTGTGTTTTCGTATATACGCAAAGTGCATATACGGGTTTATGCAAAACGTAAATTATATATATATATACGAGGATAAATTTATTATTACAACTAAATTTAAAATGATTTAACGTTGCAGAAAATTCATGGCATGCTTTTGTATAGACAGATGGGACTTGAAAAAAAATATAGAGAGACAGACACAGTGATAGTATATGTGTATACATACATACACGAAGATACACTTAGTATACATGCATACCAAAGTAACATTTGTGCAATCAATCCGTATTTGTATTCACAGTGCGTGCTTTCTTCGTACCGAGTCTCTACAACTGTTTTATTGAATTATTTTTAAAATAACATAAGATAGCATAAGCACGAGGTGGACAAAGTTTTATCGACATTTTTTTGGGGGAAATTTTTGGCGTGATGCATCATGCAAGAATATTTTACAGATGTGAAAGAAAGAGAGAGAGAAAGGGAAGAGTCTTTACGTTTACATGTATACATAGGAAAGTTATACAAGAACCGGAAGTGTTCGTTTACGATCATGTCTTAACAGCCTGCTCGAGTTCAATAAGAAAATCTATTTTCTCATACATTAACAATTATTTCTTTTTATGATCCAATAATCAACATAATTTAAATATCAAATATTCGCGTGTGCATGAATTTATCATAATAAATAGTATTTATGATCGAATAGCAATGAAAAATATAATTCTTAATTATAAAATGCAATTGGGAATAAAATTGATTGGAAAAAAATCGATCTTGAATGATCTATGGATCATTGCCAAAGATTTTGAATGTCAATGACGAACTATTATCGAAAGGTTTAAAAGAAAAACATCTACGCTCACGTATACACTCACAGATACACATGCACATGCACATGCATACGCGTAATACAAAGCAAAGTAATTTTGTTTTGGGAATTGTTTTTTATTTTTTACTTTTTTTCCCATAGATTTCAATAGATCGTTTATCTTCGAGATCATTTCTTTATTAATTTTCATTTCGAATTTAATTTTGGTGAGAAGGAAATACGGTTGATTCGGTTCAACGACATTAATTATTATGTAATTGCTACGATGTGAGTCGAAAATAAATGAATTTTAAGAGACTAATGCTTTTCGTCGTGTGTTTTTCACGCACACACACACACACACACGAGATCATACTTTGGCGAGGATCCATAGATCGTGACGAAGAATATCACATATTATTATATCTGTTTTATATTTTATACTTAACAAAAAGAAAATAATATAAATTAAATCAAAAATAACAATATATTAAATATTAAATCAATTTGTGAACGTTTATTGCGAATCTTATCTAGATTAAATAATAACAAAATTAATATAAACCTAAACGAAACGGGAGAGTAATCTTCTCGACGAACAAAACAAATAACACCGTTGCATTCCTTGAAATAACTAACAATATCCATCAATATATAAAATACAAATAAAATTGAAAATATGGAATGAAAATAAAATAAAACCAAAAAGAAACACACACACAAACATATATATAAGAGAGAAAGAGAATAAAATGAAGTCAGGAGTTAAGGTTGAGGGGTTGAGGGGGAGTAAAAAATGGTGGGAGGTTTGGAATGTTGGATTTGAAACGATAACGACAAAATGGTAAGCACAAAACTCTGGTGATTGGAGGTTTTCTTCTTTTCTCTCCTCTCTTCACTTCACCACCACTTCCTCTTGTTCGGTAATCAAGGTCTCTTTCCTTGCTGTCCTATAAATAATGCGTTTTTCGTACACGAGTTAGTGACGCGTATATACATATATATATATTTACATAGGTCGTGCGTCAACTCCCAACAACCGGCGTTGTTCAGAAGCGTCATTCCTGACACGCGGTTTTCTTCAAAGACCTAAATATAAAAAGGGTTGTAGTTAGGGCTAGGGATTTAGTCTAAAGGTTCCCTCCTATCTTTTAGAAAATTCTTTAAATATCAATTTGTGTTTGTTTCTATTATTAGTCATCTAAATTATTTACCACTGTGTTTTGTGTTATTCATTTTGGTATTGGTTGCAATATGTTTGGCTATGGAATTTGTTTAAATAGTATTTAATAAGTCAAATGTGCAGGATTGCAGTCTAGTATTAGTATAGTAATTTCTTATAATTAATATACATATATTCTATAACTGGGACCAAATATTAGTCCAAATTTTATAGTAAATAATACAACATTGTATTGTTATATCAAATTTGTTTGAATGCATTGAAAAATTCGGTTAAAGAATTAAAGTTTTTATTCGTGGAAAAAGAGATGTAACGAGAAGTGGGTTCATTCAGAATTTCTTTAGGCCTAGTTGTGTTGCGTGCATTGGCAAAGCATGTCAGGGAACACATGCTAGATGATTCCTTGAGCCGACCCTGGCGCCTAAGATATGCTCTACTAACTCACTGACTCACTAACTTGGCTTCGTGACAAGGAGAAACAGTCTTCTAGATATTACACCATCATTCTTTGTCTCTTTCCTTTTTTTCTTTCTCTTTCTTTTTCTCTCTCTCTCTCTCTCTTGTTAAAGTCAAAATACCTTTTACCTACGCCATTGGGGAGGGGGGAGAAGTTTTGGCACTTCCTTTAGACCCCATCCCCATCCCCATCCCCATTCCCATTTACTACGCACAATTCTTTTTATTATTATTATTATTATTTCTTTTTTCTTTTTCCTTTTACTTTTTTACTTATTATAACCATTAAAATAGAACACACAGAATCAATTTTGAAACTTATTGGAAGCTTTTGTGAAAAAGAAAAATAAGTTGAAATAATCCAACTGGATGATGGGTTCAAAAAGTTATTAATAAATGAATATGTATAGATATTAATTATTGTTATTATAAATGTATTTGAAATTATATTCCTCGAGAATATTATGGTTTATTCGACAAAGTATATAGAAATTCATTTGAATTAGTATTGGAATAATGTAAATTAATTGTTGGCAATTGTTTAACAATTTGCTATTAAGTTAGATGAAATGTAAGATGCAATATGAAAGAGGAGAAAATAAAAAAAGAAAAGAATGAAATTAAAAATGTAGAATTATTTGAAATATTTCTACTTTGTGATTAATGTTTTAAACGATCCCCCTTTATATACTCGTGTTGATACGCGTCATATATTAGAAGACGTCCCTGAGGAGAAGCTTTGGCACGACAACGATGACAGGAAGTATCGAAAATTTTCTGCATTCTATGCAAAATAACATGCATTCTCTCTCTCTCTCTCTCGTCGAATTTGTGCTATGTCTGCTGTTAGAATCATCCATGTGAAACAAATTACAATTCGGGGGGTGGTTGCTATTATATTATAATATTTTCCATAAAAAATCTGTCGAATAATAAATAATAAATTAATAAACAAATACCCATATTTCTCTAACAAGAGATGCATAATGCAAAATGAATTTATCTTCTATATACATACATACACACACACACTCATACATACCTAAAACAAAATACAACGAGGAACGTTGAATTAAAATGTATTATTGAAATACTTGAAAATAGAAATTTTCGAGAGAATGTAACTAATAAAATTGATAAAATGTTAGTTAACTGTTAATGATTGAATCAAAATGACAATGTAATTGTTGATTGATTCGTTAGATATAAATACGAGAAAAGATATGTTGTTACAGAGGAAAATTTGGCACGGTTTATCGATGCAAGGAAAAGAAGACCGGCTTATCTTTGGCTGCTAAGGTGGTTAACGTATCCAAGAAGGAAGATCGTAGATCTGTCGAGAGGGAAGTTGATATTATGAGAAGACTTCAACATCCAAGATTGATTCAACTTTATGATGCTATCGACACTGGCAAACAAATTTATGTTATTTTGGAACTGTACGTTTTTCTTCTTCGAACGTGATCAACGAGTTATACAATTATTAATTAATATATATAAATATATTTATAACACACGCGCACATACACACACATAAAATACATGCACAAACGTAACAAGTTTAATTCCAATTGATAAATGTTTGAGAAAAACATTCAATGAGATTACTATATTAAAACACGTACCAAAAACGTGTGTTCTAATTTATTCAAGTAATCCTGTTTGCAAGGGATCCCAAAAACGGATGTGTTATCAAATTTGCAGAATCGAAGGAGGTGAACTTTTCGAAAGGGTTATCGACGATGATTTTTTATTAACCGAACGTAGTTGCGCCGTTTTCATGAGACAAATTTGCGAGGGAATTGAATTTATCCATGCTCAGAAAATTTTACATCTTGATTTAAAGGTAATTTCATTTAAATATTAATAGTAATAGTTTAATGATCCTTGCATTCTTACAATTAACAATGATTGTTCATTTTTTCTAGCCGGAAAATATTTTATGCTTGACGAAAGAAGGTAACAGAATCAAAATCATTGACTTTGGATTGGCCAGGGATTATGATCCTAACAAAAAACTTCAAGTATTGTTTGGTACACCGGAATTCGTAGCACCCGAAGTCGTTAATTTCGATCAGATTGGTTTTGGAACTGATATGTGGAGCATTGGTGTCATTTGTTATGTATTGTAAGCATGCAGAATTTATTTTACATTAAACAAATATTTGGGGGGGGGGGTCGGTATATGAAAGAATAAGATTTATAATTTAATCATTGATAGAAAATTATTCATTTTAACACGTACCAAAAAGAAAATCAAGACAAATTTATATAATATATATTTGTGTTTACAGATTATCAGGATTATCACCATTCATGGGTGACACGGATATCGAAACCATGGCTAATGTCACCATAGCTAAATACGATTTCGATCACGAAGCATTTACTGACATATCAGAAGATGCAAAAGACTTTATCAGGTGTCTATTAATCAAAGATAAAGAGTAGGTATACGTGTATATACATATATATACAAAAATACAATTACAAATATACAGGATTAGGGTTACAACATTTTTACGTGATTTTCAATATCAATTAATTTTTATATCTACAAATATTTATTATTACAACGAGTTAAGCTTCGGAAATGTTGTTAACTCCTCCCCCCAGTTGGTTGTTTTAAATATCTTTAAACAAAATCAATTAAATAAATATCGGGAGAAATAATTATGTAATGTAATTAATTTTGAAAATCACTTAATAACTTTTGACCCACGTCTCGTGTATTTCGTCATTAACAAATGTGAATTCGGATTCTCTAGAAATATTTATAAAACTTTAATTTTAGTTATTTTAATAATAACTTCTGTTGAGAACTTTTTTTTTTCATCTCTTTCTCTCTCTCTCTCTCTCTCTCTCTTTCTCTTATTTTTTCTTTTTTTCTCTGAACAAAAACACGTTGTCGTATTCGAACGTTTGGAAAAGCTCATTTATTGCCTGTCGTTCACTTTCTTCAATCTCATTTGTTATTCGCATAAGAGAATCTGATATAATAAGAAAAAATATACAAGGTGAGCCACTTATTTATGGCCCACTTATGGTTGTTGATGTAATAGCAAGATAAAGTTTGTTCAAGTAATCTTGTCGTTGTTGTAATCAAAATTCCAATAAGCTAATCATTAATTTTGCTTATGCTAATAATAGAGATCCAGCTTGTTTAGTTTAGAAAATAATTTGCATTAGAATTATAGTAGAAATGAATCTAACAATTTGTGGAAAAGAGTTGTAGAAAGTGAACAAGTAACAGTTTAAAAAAAGGGGCCTGAAAGTTTTTTTTACGTAAGGTCATAATTAATTAATTAAAAAAAAGAAAAAAGCCTATTAAAACGTTTCTCAATGAACATTACACCCAGTATATCATTTAAGTTCAATAAGAAATTGAATTCTGACGCCGGGGTTGATAAATTGTCGTCGTTGCTTTTCTCCACGTTTTGAACGAACAGTCTCTCTCTTCGTCGTCACGCATCTGAAGTGATAAATTATCTCGAAGAAAAAGAAAAACAACTAGCTCGTAAACTTGAAATAGAAAGAGAGAAAGAGAGAGAGAGAGAGAGAATGTAAGAGTTATAATTAAAAAAAAGCATAATTCACGAAGAGTCCTGTTAAATATTTTCAGAAAACGTGCAACGGCATCCGAATGTCGTGAACATCGTTGGTTGCTCAAACGGGATAATAATAATCCTTTGATCCTGGAAGAAAAAAAAGGAACGTTGAGTATGCCAACAAAATTAGAGAAAAAACGATCGAATGATGATCAAATATTAACGTCGTCTCGGGAAATTAACGGGAAGGAAGAAAAATTATCGTCGAGGGAAGAAGAAAATCTTGATTTAACCAAGGACAATTTGAGACTGTTCGTCGAACGTTGGAGAGAGCATCCTGATAGTCCATACATCATAGACACGATACAAAATGTATCTAAATTTAATACTTGGAATGATTTAGAAGAAGCTGTATCGTTGCTCGCACAAAGTCCATCACCTAGGGAAAGTATTTGTAGTATGGGATCATCTGAAACCGAATTCAGTAATTCCCCATCGTTTTTAAACGTCCCTAGTATTGGGTTGGCTTTAGAAAGAAGGGCCTCGGAAGGTACTGCAAGAAATAAATCACGCGATCAGGCTAGTCAAATAGTATTGGCCGAAGAGATCATTAAATTGTCGGAACATTTGCGTACCATTGCTGGTGGTATTGAAACTGGTCAAGAAAATGATGACAATAATGTTCTTGCTCGTGATAATAACGATTCTAATTTTGGTGCTGCTACGAGTATTATCGTAGATAAAGATAAATCGCCTGGAAGATCTAAGAAACAATTGAAAAGTAATCATTTGAAACAGACAACGTTGGAGACTAACGAGTGTAACGAGATTACGGAAAAATTGTCAAGTTTAACTAGGCAAAGGAAACTCAATGGGACTACTTTTCACAGTAATCGTAATTTGGATCGTTATAATAATTCGATTGAAAATCATTCGATGAATATGTTTGCCTCGTTCAGAAGAAAAAAAGCTATTGAAGATAAAATGTTTTCTTTGAACAAGAACGATTCCGAAGATAACAGTTTAAATGACGATAGTTCGAGTACGACCAGCAGTTCGATTAGGGTACAAAACGATCAAACGAAATCTATGAAATCAGATAAAAATAATGATATTGATTTAACACCACCGTGGAGACGTAACAGGGTTAAACATTCCTTCGGTGAGACTAGCAGAGATGTACCTAGGATATCCAATTTACGTGATTTACATAAAAGTTTGAACTTAGATGAGCCAGCCAATACGAAAGATTTATTGTTACATCTGTTAGGCGAATGGGAGGAAATTGGTAACAAAACTTCAACGTTAGGTAGGAAATCTGTTAGCATCGATTGGTGCGGTGAGGAATCTGTTGCTAGGAAAACAATGAACTCCTTGGCAGAATATTTTCAATCGAAACAACAAAAGTCTACTGCTAGTAATGTTCCCGACGATTCACCTCCACCTATTTATCGTTAAGAATAAAATCTAATTTAGATTTTCAGGACGCGTATTGATACTTTTGATGGACCTCCATTTGTGAAATCGCGACAGAACGATTTTACATTGAATTAATTTAATTCTTACGCATTTTTTGTGGGGGGGGGGTGGGATTTTGTTTTAGGTGAAGCCTAATAGTGAAAGGTTTTTAAAATATGGTCCTACGAAAAAAGCGTGACTTCGATTGAAATTAAATGATTACGGTACAGGATATTTTTTATTTTCTTTATTAATTATTCCAAATAATTCCGCGAATTTTTTCTGTTCGTTTTTTGATTATTAAATTAATCAATTATCGATACACCTAACACGAAACAAGTGATAATCATTTTGTTTTAACTTTACAATTTGATTCGCGTATAGCCTGGACGAATTCTTGCCAATTTGTTAACACATGTATTTTATATAAAAATTCGGCACGAATTTTCTTGGGGTATTTTTAATATTGAAAAATATATTTTTATAAAACGTGACACATAATAGAATTGGATTAAAGTTCCTCTTTTTTTCTGGTTATTATTTTGTATTTGTATTATTCAAAATAACGAGAGATACACTAACAGCATTGAATTATTGTTTAAAAGACAATTCGTCAAGTATTACTTTGATTACTTGATGATATTTTATTAACTATCGTACGTTTCGTACACTTGACTATTATTTATAATTTTTCTTCTTTGATAATTATTAAGAGTTGTTTTATTGTAATTATAAATATTATGATAGTGATCTAGTCATTGTATTTATGTATGCACATAATGAAATATAATGAATTATAAAATTAACATAAGTTCGCTGTGAAAAAATGATCAATAAATAATCATAAATAAATAAAAAGTCACGGATGATGCATGTGTAAATAATAATTATGTGAAATAATAATTATTGTGAAGTTGATTGTATGTGTGTCGTCGTGTATTATATGTAAATGTTCATGATAAATGTTTTTGTGATGAGCCAGTGATTATGAAAATGATTAAAGAGAGATGGAGAATATTGTAAGAGAGCTGAGAAAAATAATGCAACGTAATATTTGTTATATATATATGCAATAATTTTTCTTTTCAATAATTAAAATATTAAAATATATATAACGAAAAGATTGCAACAAATTAAACTATTTGTCTTGTCTTCTTAATATTTATTATAAATTTATTTATGAAATTTGTGTTAAGTATGACAAATTCGTTTAATTAATTTGCTCTTTTTATTTGTTCAATTCTACAGACGAAGACCAACAGCAGGACAACTTTTAGAACACCGTTGGCTCGAAGTTGCATTGGAAAATCTGATTTGTAAAAAACGATTGAAACGATATGTTATTAAAAAACGTTGGATCAAGGCCGTTAATACGATATTAGCGTTAAAACGAATGGGTGCAAATTTAGACTTAGATCTTGTCTAAAAGTGTTACTTCATTTAATTTATTTTAATTGAATTAAAACGAAGAACAAATTATCTTCCAACCCAATGTCGAAGCAAGTATTAGATATTCGTAATATTTTTATTTAATATTATGAAATAATTGATTAGTTATAATTAGGATACTTTTTTGGTTTTGTTTTTGGGAGAAGGTGTCGAGAAGAATCATTTGAAATTTTATCAATTTATATTAATAATTAAGAAATCAAATTGTATATATTTCAAATGGTTTTAATGTACTATTTAAAATCAATTTCGTTATAGTTGATTATTTAAGTTTTGTGATTTATGTCGCAGTTGTAGTTTGTTAAAACGATATTGGCACAGGAAAACAGTCATTAAGGGGGGTGTAGTGGTAGGAGGACAAGGTAAAAGGAAGGTTTATGTTTTACGATTGATTTATGAATTTTCGTGGACGAGTTAGAATTTTGTATGATTATGTAAATATATTTATATGTGTAGAATGCACCTGTTGTGTCTTTAAATAAATATTATTTTACTACTGTACAGTTAATGTGCGTGTGTGTATGTGTGTGTCTGTGTATGCAAAAATGAAAATGAACATTTTGCTAGCTTCTTGCAATTATTGTCATGATCGATATCAAATATATTATTTATATATATCATTTTATTCTTATTTATTTTGAAATTATTTCACGTATTTCGTATTTGAAATATGCCGCGGTTTCGAAATGACTACGTGAAACAATTTGTTTAAATAATGAAACACGTTTTGCAATAATTTTATAAAGTATAACGATTTGTATTGTTTTAAAATTAAATGAATCATATACATGTATTGGAAAATATTTGAATTATTATTAAAAGTATATTATAATGTTTGAAATTATACTTCTTTTGGTGCATATCTCGAGAAATAATTTCGATTGCTGCGCACAGATGGCAGCGCGATGCAGTTTTTTTAAAGAGGGACATCCCAAAAGTGTTTACAAAGTTAATTAATAAATAATAATGGTCAGTTGTTTTTGTTTTCTATTTATTAAAAATTGTAAAATATCGTCAAGTTAACTTTATTTAATATCTAATGAAGATCTTGCTTTTAATATGAAATATTTCTACTCCTCTAATTTTTATAATGTACAATATTTTTTTTGGTTAGAAATTACAAATATAAAATGATAAAAACATTATGAATATATATTAAATATAAATTATTATTTATAGGAACAGTCTCTGCAAAAGTGGACACCTTATGCGAAAGAATATGATCCTTTAAAAGCTGGAAGTATCGATGGAACTGATACTGAACCACACGATAAAGCTGTTAGTCGTGCAATGCAAGCTCATTATGAACCACCTCATGGTTTAAAATCTAAGCCTGAAAGAACGCTGTTCGTTGCAAGATTTGGCCCAAAAATAATGGAACAAGATTTAAAGGAGGTAAACATTTAATAGAATTTTATCAAACGACATTAAAAATGTAAATTGTTATAATGTATTGCAGTATTTTTCTAGGTATGGTGAGGTTTTATCAACTAAAATTATAGTGGATATAGTAACAGGTCTTTCTCAAGGTTACGGTTTCGTTGAAATGAGAAACGTTGATGAAGCACGAAGAGCTTTGAGACGTAGTACAGATGCTACGATTAAAGGATATCATATTTTTGTAGACTTCGAATGCAGTCGTACTATGAAGGGTTGGAAACCAAGAAGATTAGGTATAGACATTTTCAAATGGTTTCTATAATAATTTTCTTACTAGTAAAACGTATACAATTTTTTTGAAATATTTGTGTATCATTTTAGGTGGTGGTTTTGGTGGTAGAAAAGAATCCGGTCAGCTTCGATTTGGTGGAAAAGATAGGCCTTTTAGAAAACTGATAATACCCAATATTATTAAACCGTGACTCTTAATTATATAATTATAATATATATTTTACAATTAATATTACAACCCCTAACGTTAAATATATACATATACTATAATAGTACAGCAATTGGTTAACTTCTGCAACCCTTTATGGGGATTATTGCAAACCTATACTATGAGAAGAAACCCTTATTGAAATTATGTTAAATATGTAATTTAATATTAACAAAATGAGTATAGTGTAGTAGTTTGTGAAGTTGATATGAAGTATTATATGGAAAGAAACGTTTGAGTTGGTTTCTCAACGTTGTCTGATCTTTCTTCGAAGCTTACACGAAACTTTATATTTCTGTACACGTACATCAGTGCGCCCTCTCTCGTTCGTAGGTCCCACCATATAAGGAGGCACTCGTCGTGGACTTGAACGTTCATCAACACGTTCAAAGATTTCATGTTTCCAGACTGTATTTAAAATATCTTCATCTTATCAAAAATATGTTGATATTTATCCCCTCTACAATTATTAGAAAACATATTAAATTTTAACCCCTACCCCCCATATTACTTTGCATGCACCTTTTTATTTCAAGCAAATTCTTACCGATTCTAATTCCACATTTCAAACTATTATTCTTTTATATATATCTTAACTGTTTGATATATTAATTTAATTTAACAATAAGTATTGACAAATGATCAGGGATTGAATTATTATGTAAATTTAGTAACACGTGGGAAGATACTAAATTTATATTATATTTCGTCTCGCAGAATTAGAAAAAATGCGCGCGATAAAGAGAGAAGTTCTCTTTTTTTTTTTTAAATATTCGAGAGAAAATTGCGGTGGAGTTTGTTTGAGTTAAATTATATAAGAGAAAATAAATGAAAGAAAAAAATAAGTTAAAATTGAGAAGATATTATTGTAGCGAATCGAAAAATATTCTTTTCTTATTATCGTGGAAGTTCATTTTTGATAGAGGAAGTATCAAATTTATGATAGTTTATTAATTACAAATAATTTGATTCTTTATTCGGTTGGATAATTAATAATATAAGAATATACTCTAACAATAATTATTTCGATATAAACTATATTATACAATATACCGTAATCAAAACTGAAAATAAATTAAAAAAAAATAGGATTGTACCAGAAGACAGTAATCAAATACTATATAACAAATTTGAAATACAAAATGACATCCTATTACGAAGGACAATTAAAAATAATCCACAACCGAAGGAAATTAAAAGTCAATTAAATAAATGGAATATTAGAATCAGATAGATTGATTTAAACAACAAATTTCTTTTCGAACAAATGCGGGGGCGAGATGTTACCAGAGAACAGAAAGAAATTAAAACATCACACATACACACATAGAGAGACAGAGAGAAGTGTAAACTAGAGGGTACAATCCAATAGAGAAAAGAAAAGAAAAGAAAAGAAAAGAAAATAAGATAAGAGAATCAGAGAAAGAAAAAGAAAGAGAAAGAGAGAGAGTCCAGTTTATTCGTTGGTAAAGAAAAGAACGTGTAACTACCATTAGACGAAAATAGGTATCGTCGGCCAGGATCGTATCACGCTCGAACCCCACGAACGTAGATCTCCTTTCTATTAATAGTAACGAACGAGAAGTAAGGATCCAAAGAACAGAAACAGAAACAGAATCAGAATCAGAAGAAGAAGAAGAGGAACAAGAAGAGGAACGAACAAGAACACATACAAGAATAAGAAGAAGAAGAAGAAGAAGAAAGAAATAAAGAAGAAGAAGAAGAAGTTGCAGGTTCCGAGGTAACTGGTGAAACTCATCTGTACTCAGAGACCGTTCTCAGATCGAACAGTCCGGAGTTGAGTTCAGAGCCGCTCGAGCTGTTGTGCGGACTCGACATTCCATCGGTTAAAAAGCTCATCATCTCTTTTTATTCTCTGTTTTTTTCTTTTCATTTTCTTTTCCTTGTTTTCTTTTTTTTCCTTTTTTTTTTTTGTATTATTATTATTTTTTTTTTGGTCATTTTCTTCTCACACATTTTCGAGTCACTTCTCTCTATCTTTTGATATTTTTTCTTGTGTGCGTGTGTGTGTGTATATTTCGTTTATAAAAGCTCCATCTTCATTACTTCAGCTACTGGGACTTCAAGCAGTCAACCCCGTTTTTGTGCACGTACACACACACCCACCAACCAACCAACACACGCCACTATCTATCCGTCATACATTTAAAAACATACAAAAAGTACATATTTTTTACATTCACATCGATCTAATGTAAGTTACATTCAATATTTTTTTTCTTTCGTTTTATTCTTATTCTTTTTCTTCTTCTTATTCTTTTTTTTGTTGATCTATTTATATACAAGGTGTTGGTACATGCTACGGAATGACCTAATTTTTTTCTTTTCTTGATTTTAGACACCTTGTGTATGTGTTTATATCATAGTTTGTATTATTTCTAATTTTTATATATATATGTATCTCTCTATCTTATTTAATTATTAAATAATCCATTATATTTAACAGTTTTTTGTACGTAAAGTTTGAAGAAAAATAGGATAATTGATTTAAAAAAAAAGAACAAGAGAGAGTGAGAGTATATATATATATGTATAAAAATGGACTAGAATAAATTCCATCTTTTATGTTTGAAATTCGTCAATGAAAAGTGCATTCCTCGCCATACACTTTTATAAAGGAATGATCAAAAATGAAATCTATTCAAGACTGTGCATTGTAATTTATAAAAAAAATCATTTACGCGTAGGCCGTACGAAATGGTGCTACGGAAAATCATTGGTTGTTTTTTTATTTTTATTACTTTTTGCAACGGTTACGTAAATGACACTTAAATCGAACGTATAGTTAAAAAAAAAATCATTTAACTCTCCTCTCAATTTCAACCCCCTCGCAAATTTGTATATTTTAACAATATTTTCTTCTGACAATACGCGTAATGGGGATGTTTTTGTTTGTAATCCACTTCTATGCATTTCTTTTCCTTTACTTTGATCAAAAATCTAAATATTATTATAGGGTTAACGCTAGCCTAAATTCGAATTAAATTTTGTCCGCATTCTTTCGTAATAAATATGGGTTTTAAATAATTTTGCAAGAAAAACCTTGTTGCAACGCGAAAAAAGATTTCGTTGGAAGAAAATTTGGGATAGGAAGAAGGGGTGGTGTCAAATGGACGCCATATTGGATTAGAGTAGTACAAGAAGAAATAGTATTAGGGGAGATAGAAAGAGAGAGAGAGAGTGAATTTCTAAAATTAGAACCACGAGGAAGAGAAGGGACCCGGCTCCTTATAGAGAGCTTGCGACGATGAGCTTGCGGCCAGGGTTAGCAAACTGTTAGTATATGTCTATCTCTTTCTTTTTTACTTTTTCTCTTTCTGTCTCTCTCTCTCTCTCTTTCTCTTTCTGTCTCTCTTTCGCACTCTCTTCTTTCGGAATATCAAATTACGTTTAGGTCGGTGCATCATTGACCCCATTTCGATTAATTTTTCGCGATATTTCATTCACTTTTTCCCTATATTTATTTATTTATTGCATTTTCAATGCTTTTTTTTAAATTATTTTTATTACAAGTTTAATAAAAAGTAAATACTGATATTTTTTGTTGGTGTATTTTTACGTTAAATTGTTCAGTAGACAGTGATTTAATTTGTTGTAAATCAATATTCGTTTTAAAAGTAATATAATTTTGCATAAGAATTAATGAAATATTTGATCTTTAATATATTGTGAAAAATATTATATAATTTTAATAGATATAATATTTATGTTTTATTCATTTTCCTGTTGCAGTTCCTTAACCAACCGCAAACATGTCCGACGATGAGGAACAATACTCGTAAGTATTTAAAAATAATACATATATATATAAACATAATAAATTTAATTTACTGCCCAATTACTTAAGGAGAAAAAAGAAAACACAAAGAAAATAATACAATCAAATTTAATATCAAAACGCAGAATTAATTGCAACACTTATATAAAAGAATAAGAAAAGAAAATCTTTGAGAGGCCATTTTGAAAAAGAAAAGAAGAAATAAAAGAAGTACTATCAATGGTTAATATATATAATAAGCGAGCATCGATGATCTTACAAAATGGCGTTGGTAAAGATGAAAGAAAAGTAAAGAAAAGAAAAAATCGTATTAAGGTGGATAACAGGAATTCTGAAATAGGTCGTTAAAGTGAATAATTCTCGTTTTAAAGGGGGAAAAACATTTTGGCATGATATCTCGCGTCAACCGATATAATATCTTTATTCTCTCTATACATATAATATATAACCCTATTTTTCTTATACAAATAGTCCCTATTGAAAAATATTCCGAGGGTTGTTCGAGGAATAACCCCTCGAAGATTATAAGTGTCTTTACGAGCCTATCTCTCGACGATAATCGGGATCGGAATTTTGATGTCGTTGTCACACGTTAAGAAAAAAAAAAAGAAAAAAACCACACATCTCTCACGTAAGATTAAACTCATCCCCCGCAACCCCCTTTCCCCTTCACCCTTTTGTTATCTTTTTACTTTTTATCATCTATCGTCATCTCGTCGTTTCGTGAAAAAGAAAAAAAAGTATCATTTCGTTTGTTATAGTCAAACCGAATCAACGTATGTCTCCAATTTTTGTCTGTCCTATCTTTCTTGTTTTATTTTTACAACAATCCCTTTTATACGATGACATTTGTCGTATTGTGTTTCATTCGTTTAATTCGTATATTCCTTAGAAGAATTTTAATTAATACGTTTTTATTCGTTTGTTTTTCATATTTATTATTATTAATTTGTTTATTCGTTAACGAGAGAGAAATATTTTATTCCCTCCGAACAACCCCTTTTTATTTGTTACCCGATTCGTAATATGTTTTTTCTTGTTTGATATTTTTGTTCACACGATTTTCCCCTTTTTGAATTTGTAACGAGAGGGAGAACAAGTCCTGCAAAGATTTTATTTATTTATTTATTTATTTCTATATCGTATTCCTTTATATTACGCGGTAAAACTTTTAAAACGAACTATCAGTTTCCATTAGACTTTCGTTGGACGTTTAAATTGTGGTGATCGTCGAGTGTGTTGTAACTTATTTACAATGCAATTTTCTTCACGGAATTACGATAATGCATCCTTTTTTTTTTTTTTCCATTATATTTCGATTTAATATTCATTTTATAGAAAGGTTTTACGATAGGAGGTATTGCTCTAAAGAAATTCTCTTCTAGAATAAAATCATATTTCATATTATATCGTTAAAATAAACTTTTAGAAAAAAAGAATTCAATGCAATTGTAACGTGTAGGAGATCGCGAATGAACGAACATAAATTTATAATTAAATAATGTAATACAAAAGAATATCAAAGCGTGCATCACAAAAAATTGAATTTCTACATGGCAATTCGAAAGAAATAAAAAACAAAAGATCTTACTGTTATTCCTGTTATTATTATTATTATTATTTTCAACGAGTAAAATATAAAAAAAAAAAAGAAAAAAAGAAAGAAGAACCCTTGCGCGTTATCGTTTTAAACGAATCGAGATAAAAGCTTGAAAAATCGTGTCGTATCGTACAAATAGCATCTACTCCAACCAACCCCAAGCACAACCCCAACCCCGAAGTCCTTGATTGTGTAAAATACTATAGTTCAGTTTGTTCAAGTCAACCCCTTTTTTTCAATAAAAACGAACCAACCCCCGCCCCCGCNGCCCCCGCCCCCGCCCCCGGCCATCCCTTGTAACAACGACTAACAACAATTGTTTTCCTTTTTTTCTGTTTCACAGCAGCGAGGAGGAGGTCGAGGAAGTGTAAGTTTTTTCCCATTGTTTTAATTTGTTCTTATTGTTAATTAATTCTATTCATTCTTTATTTATATATAAATAAATTTCTCTCTCTCTCTCTCTCTCTCTTTTTAATAATTGTTTTTTCTCAAAATCATTTTTATACGTATTATAAATAAATTCCAAAAAGAAAATTAACACGCACGTTCTTTCATTTTTCTCTTTTACAGGAAGTAAGTTCCAGTCATGGGTTCTACTTTATTTGAGGGTACACCATATCGGTGTGCCGTTTACTGCGATAGAAAAAAATTCATTTGAACGAATAGGTTTTCTTTTTTTTTTTCTTTTTTTTTCTTCTAGAAATCAAATAGTTCGCACAAAATCGATACGAAAGTTATTTCACAAAATATATTCGAATGAAATAAAAGTTAAACAAAATAATATTTGACGAACGTCGATGGGTGATACAGATTGAAATTAATGGTTTCATAGTTATGATCATATATTTTTAACTTTACTTTTTACCTGTTCTTTTATTTTATATACATTATATTCTCGAACCGAGGAAAAAAATAATGACAATGAATAGATAAATGGATATACCTATTGGCGCGGAGTCAAAATTATTTTGGAACTTTTTTTTATTTTTATAGGAACGTCTGGTCTGTCAATAATTTTAAACAATTTCAAGAATTTGATTACGATAATACACTATAATTATTTATTTAATTATATATTCTTCGTTCGCGGTTTAACTCTATTTATTATTCATCGAATTAATATTACAAACGTTTAGATAAGAATACATTGATCTAATAATAATAATCGTTAAACAAAATATGTTTGTTAAAAGAGAAAGATATAGTTAAAGAAAATAGTTAACAATAGATCGGTCTATTATTTAATTAGAATGATGCTAGAGAGATCGCGATGATTCATCCGTCTAGGATTCGAGGTTAGAGTCAAAATTAAAATGGCGTTGGTGGGGAAGATTAGATTTATCCGACCAATCAATAATAGCTTAAAAATAAAATTATTATAATTGAGAAACACACTAAAGTGTCAAATTTCGTTGATACGAATCATAGTTTTTTTTATATACAAATATTTTCTTTATTCTCTTTCTGGAGTAAGACCGAACACACGCGTTGTTATTGTTGTAATAAAAATGTCGAGGAAACTATGGAAACTTTTGCTAACGCGAATAAAACGCGTTTAGTATGATACACAGTTGAACGATCATTCTTGAAATGGCGTTTAAAATTAGAGCAGACCAGCTCCCATCATCACGAAAATAGGGCGACCGGATGGCGCGTAGTTACTATTCCTGCCTCTAAGCATATAATTCGTTTCTAAAAACAGATTTAGGTATAATCCGTATATCACATTTTCTTTTATTACGATCCAACAATCCAAAAAACTTCAAATTGTATCCAACAAAACAACAACACCAACAAAAATACATACTCCATTTTCATCAAAATCTGTTTTACCGACCGAAAATCCGGAACCATGATTATATTCGAAAACAAAATGAACTCCGTATTCGTTCGGCCCTATTTTCGTCTTGATAACAAAATATTTCAAAGAAAAAAAATAAAAGCATGATGATATTAGAGAAATTAGATTGACGTTAGATTAAAACACGCGATAAAATTATTCAACTTGGGTGTCCATAGAAGAAACGGACACACCATTATTTCTTCTAAATAGAAATATTCTTTTCGTTTCTCTTTCATTTTGTTATATATTTTTTGTTTCTAATCAATTCTCTATCTCTCAATCTCTATCTAATCTATCTACTTAATCTTAATTAAACAAAAAAACCAAAAAATCTGTTTAAACCCAAATCACTCATTTCTATCTCTCTGTGTATCTCTTTCTCTCTCTCTCTCTCTTTCACTTCTCCGCCCGTTTCTCCACATACAACACACAAAACCAATGAACCAAATGAACCAACCAACCAACCAACCAACCTAAATGAACCAAAAACGAATAAAATGAACCACCAACCAACCAACCAACCACCAATTACCACTACTACCATCATCATCGTCGACCGATCGACCCACGCGACCAATCCGCGTGTCATTGACTATGAAAATTGAAAAATCAAAGGCAGCCGGAGAAGAAGATCGAGTAAGTTTCTAATTAATAGACAAGCGTATATATATAATTGCCATTTTTTTCTAATTCTATACTCTTTTCTTTTTCTTTTTTTAATTCTATATGTGTATATATATATATGTATATACATATGTATATATATATATATACATATATTGTTTTTTTAATTTCTTTTTGGCAGCTATTGGCTATTTTAATTGTTCATATACGTTGTCGTGTTTTTTCTCTTTTTTTTCCTGTTACCTAACAAATTTTGTATTTGTCTATTGTCGGATTCGTCAGTATTATTACTTTACTATCTTTTACTATTTTTCTCTAATTTTCTATTTCTGTCTCTTTCTATCTATTTTTTGTTAGTGTCCGCTGAATCTTTCTTTCTCTCTTTCTTTCTTTCTTTCTTTCTCTATCTTTCTCTATCTTTTTTACGCTCTTTTTCTATTTGTTATAATGTTTAGTATTTTAATAATAATATTAATAATAATGATAAACGCTGACGCACAATATAAATGCCGCCATTACGCCGCCATTACGCCGCCATTATGCCGCTGCAATTATTTGTCTCATATATTTACTTTCTATATAATATATATATATATATCATTTTTTTTTTAATTTATAATTTATCTCTTTCGTTGTTTCTTGTGTCCATTTTTCTATTTGATTTATTTATTTAAATTATTTTTTATTATTATTATTATTATTTCTCACATACAAAATCATGTCTTCATTGAATTTCTTTCTTTCTCTCTATCTCTTTATCTTTCTCTTTTTCATATATATTTGTATTATACAAATATATTTTTCTTTTACATTAAATCATCTATTCCAATACTCCTCTTCAACCACTTCGCTCACACCACCATCATCCCTTAAACGAAACGTGCTTATTATTTTTTGATTTTTATTATTTTTCAAGTATTACAAAAAAAGATGATTCACAGATTTAACGAACGAATGTGAATTTATCTTCTCTTTTATATTTTATTATTTCTCTTCGTAATATTTTGTAATATTTTTCTTACATTTTTTCCAACACAGGTGTATAAAGAATTTTGCCAATACATTTACGTATCTTTCATTCCTCTCTTGTTATCAATTTTTTTTAAACTTTATCATTCTACTTCCCTCTCCCCTCGATTCACCACTTCTACTATAATTCTTTATCCAGAATATTTTTATTAATTTCAATTTTAAACTAAACATCCCCTTTTCTCTTCGTATTCCCATTCGTTCCTCAATATTTTTATTATTTTTTCTCAACCCATACATCTATCTATCCACATGGAGACATACATGCATACATCAGAAACAAAAAAAAGAAAAATATAAAAAAACAATCATTCAACCACCACCCCCTCCCATTAATTTATCATACGTTGGTCCGTCTGTTGTCTCTCTTCATTATGTTTTCAATTTTTTCAAGCTGTGTCGCTGCTGTGTCGATGGTTTACACGAGATTACATTTCACCATCCTTTTTTTACAATCCTTTCCTTCCAAAAACAAAACAAAAGCCAAACAACTTTTTTTCTTCGAAAATGAAACACTCCCCCTCACCCTGTGCAACACACACACGTATCCTCACATCCACGAATACTGAATCAAACGAACAAAAATCTACACAAAAAGTACACGCACCAACAATACTTTAAACTAATTCTCACGTACGAAATAAAAAAACGGTAGAATAATAATAAAACAAAAAAAAGAAACAGGAACCATTTTCAAAATACCAAAATACAAGTCACGCTTTTTCTTAGACACATATCTACATATATACACAAGTATACGTACTTACACTTATTCCTACCTTAAAAAACAAACAAAAAAAACCAACAAAAGTATCTGTCTGTCTCTCTTTCTCTCTCTCTCTCTCTCTCTCTCTCTCTCTCTCTCTCTTTCTATCTCTCTCTATTTCTTTCTTACTTTCTGTAATATTTTATTTCAATTATTTTGTCTCTTCTTTTAATTATTATTATTAATTAATAAATATATATATTGTCGTCCTCGTGCATTTGTTATTATTTGTTGAACGTGCGCATTCGTTTATATGTCGCATATGATTTTATTTCGTGTCCGTCTTTCTCGCATTATCGATCGTGCCGACGAATTAAAAATAAAAAAAAAAACAATAAAAAAAAAAAAAAAGGAATAATATAGCATTTTTTGTAAAAAAAAATGCTTGATAAGATATATATATAAAAGTGTTGTGTGACAATATAAAGCAAGACACACGATAAATAAAATACACTTGAACGTACAAACGAACGGACTATGGATTGGCTCAATGCCTAAACAAATAATATATAATAATACCTATTCTCGACACAAAGAATATCTTACGCAATCACTATAATATAACAGTTTACAAAATGGATCTTGTTTATCGTACTACATTTTTCCTATTTATCACGTATTATGTCATTTTATTTTTATCGGTTCTCCTATTATATTTTTACTTCGAATGCACGAACAAATTCTAATAATAAATATGGGAAAAAGAGAAAAATGTTTTCTTGAAAAAACCGTGGTCCGTTCGAAAATCTCTACGCACAATTTAAAATCAAAAATAATAATAATAATTGATTAATTAATTAATTAATCAATCGAATACAATATTTAAATGACCATTGGATAATATACCCAAAAATTATTTGGAAGTTAAAAAAAGAAAATTATGCCTGAGCACAAATATCGTATTATACCGCCTTTTATTATTTATTTCACGCGTGCTTTTGCGCATAAAAGAAAAAATAAATAAATATTATATATGAACAAATTATTGTTTGTCGTACACACACGTGTTACTGCACACACAAAGCAAATATGCATTATTACGCACACGCGTACAATTATGACGATATTAATAAATAATACGCGATGTTTACGATCTTCGTTAGTTTTTTTTTTCACACACACACACACACACATACACATCACACTTTTACCTATTGTTTTTTTTGTTCTTCTTAGTAGTAGTAAAATATTAATCATTCTGTACTTTCTCTTTTTTATAGGGGTAGGGCGTCCCAAAAGTAAGTTGAAATCGCTCGAAGGTTGTTTTATTCTTATATATATACGTCAATAATCTTTCTTCAACCCCAACCCTCTTCAACCACCCCGCCCCCCAACAACCAACCACCCTCTTCTACTGTCTATCTTTCTATCTATCTGTCTCTCTGTGTTTTTTACTTCTTCTTTTCGTTCGCTCTGACCAAAAAACCACAGCAACAAACCGATACGAATTTTTTGTTTCTTTTTTGTCAATTGCAAAAAGAATTATTTTGCAAAAGAAAAGAAAAGAAAAGGGGCAGCAAATTCTCCAGAAAAAAATTACAGGAAAGCATTCCTTTGCTTTTTTTTTTGTTCCATTATTTTCTAAACCCTCCCACCCCCAACCATCTGATTTTTTTTCATTTGTATCATTTATCAGTTGATATATTATAATTAATTAATTAATGAATTAATTCTCGGCAGGAAATGTTGTTTGACGAGATAAACGTTAAGTTACTACGATCAACATTGTTTTCGTGGACAAAGTAAAAAAAAAAAATAATGGAAGATAGTTACTTTATCTTTTTTTTTGTTGTTGTTCGTCTCACGTTGAAACCTGGCACGAACAAGTAGAGTAGTAAGCTTCTTCGTTCTGATTGGTCGAGTACAATTGCATAACAAGCATATGCAACTAATTTAACTTGCGTCGGCTGGACACCTGCCAACACTCCGATGTTACATGGTTGCATATGTGTTTTCTTTTTCTATGTATTAATACTTATTGTTAGTATTATACATACACACATATATGTATATGTACTTATGTATTATATGCTGTACACGCGTAATAAGTTTATTCTTACATTTTTAAAAATTCAGAAAAAAAAAAATTAGATCCTGCCGAGATGAACGTTGTAAAATAAAATGAAAAGATAAAAATTAGTCCACCCTATGAACCAACCAACCATCTCACCCCTTTTTTCACCATAATTTTCAACAGCCCCGAATTTTTGCGCGTACTTTTTTTCTCTCACGATACTTCTACGCAATTCAACACACAACCCCCAACCCCGCCATATTTTCTTTTCGTGTTCTTTTTAATCTTTCCATCTATCTATCTATCTGTCTATCTATCTTTCTGTCTTACTATCTATTTATTATATGTTTTTATCTCTGATTAATAATAATTATTGTATATTAACAGAGTGAGAGAACAAATTCTTGTACATAATTTCAACGTGTGTTTCAACGTATTATGTATTTATGTACACCATTTACAACCCCTCCTTCCCCTCTAAACTCCATACCAGCCTCTAGCCTCTCTTACCATCGTTTAAAATTATTGTAAATATGCTATGAACAATTTTTTCGTACGCGTTCACGTTGTTTTTGTGCCTCACATTCTGCTCACGGTTTATTCATTCACGTTTTTATTTCTTATTTTTCTGTTTTGTTTTTACAATCAAAAAAATATCCCGGTGTTGTTGCATTGTTCGTTCCATCAGATACCACCTATCCAATCAACCCCTTCCTTCTTTCCTGCTTCCCACCCTCAAACAAAATAATTCGTGCCGATTTTTTTTCCTTGCTCCCCAGTGATTTATTTTCGCATAATTTCACCAATATAATATTTCATACAAATGAGATATTAATAAGATATAAAAAAAAAAAGAAAATGAAGTAACTCACGTGCTCTTGCACGTTAATCATTTTTCTTCTATCTTTTTTTCGTTAACTTTTTTTCTTCTATTTATAATTTTTCATTTACTATATAATATATTCTATCCTCCCCCTATATTTTTATCTATTCACACACATTTTGTTGTCTTTTATCAAGATTGTCCGTCCGTTTCTGTCTATTTGTCCGTCCGTTTATATATTTTTTTTTCTTTTTTTTTTAAATTAATTTAAATTTCGTTAATTTTTCTGTCTCTCTATCTCTCTGTCTCTCTCTCTCTTTTAATTTATGTTTGTTTATTTGTCATTGTCAAACGTGTCCGTCCGCCTGTACGTGTGTGTGCGTGTCTGTGTGAGTTGGTTTATCGTTTGAATGTATGTGTGCGCAAATAAAAAACAAAAAAAAAACAAAAATTACACGACATAACAATTAACTTGATGTCGATGCGCGAGAATGAATGATTATACTATGATTACGATTACAATGACGATAATGACGATGATTATTATTATTATGATGATGATGATGAGACGAAAATAATAAAACAATAAGGAAAAAAAGAAAGGAAGGACATCAAAAAAATTGTCAAAGCTTTTTGCAAAAGGAAAAGACAGTCTGACCAACTGTTTTTTTTTACACTTCGGAGCAACGAGCTTTATTTACCCCCCATTCATCGAAAGGACTATTAAAACAAACGAGTCTTCTTATATTTTGTTTTCGTTCCGGCACGGTCCAGGGACTCCGGGGAGAATCCTGAATTTATGAAGGTGAGTGTTACCCTAATCACTTGTCTCATTTATTTTCTTTTTAATATCAATCAAATTATTCAATTTCAAACGATACATTGATTTTTCATCAATACACAAACTATTTATATCAAATTGAAGAAGAAATAAATATATATAAATATGTTATACAGTGTGAATGGATCAAAATTAAAGAATGTTCAGATTCACACATGATATGAAATGTTAATAAATAATTTGTTTTTATTTCAGAGGCAAGAACAGAAGAGAAGCGATCTCGATGAACAACTTAAGGAATACATCGCGGAATGGAGAAAGCAAAGAGCCAAGGAAGAGGAGGAGCTCAAACGGCTCAAGGTTTTTCTTATTTCGATTAAACTAATAATATCAATAGTTTTTGTTTAAATTTTCTTTATCCATATTAATTTTATTTTCTTTTTGTTAGGAAAAACAAGCTAAGCGCAAGATCACTCGCGCTGATGAGGAAAAAAGATTGGCTCAGAAGAAGAAGGAAGAGGAGGAACGTCGTCAACGTGAAATTGGTATTCATTTATTTATCTATTAAACAAATTTCAAAATAATAATAATAATAATATTAATTGACCATAATACACGAGAGAGAAATTCTCTATAAAAGAAACAAGAAATAACAATTTTCAACGTTACCTCTGGCTATTTTTATTTTCTATCTTTTTCAATCTCTTTTTTCATTTTTTTTTATCTACTTTCTTTTGTAAAAAAAATTGCACAGAGGAAAAGAAACAACGCGACATAGAAGAAAAGAGACGACGCCTCGAGGAATCTGAAAAGAAACGTCAAGCTATGATGCAAGCGATGAAGGATCAAGCAAGCAAGAAAGGACCTAACTTTACCATTACCAAGAAGGACCTCGCGGTAAGTAGGTTCACGATCCTTTTTTCTTTTTCTTTGTTTTCTAACAAGAAAAAAATACAAAACATAAAAATAATCATTTTATTAGATTGGCCAATAAATTAATTACAAGTTCCTTTTCTCTTTTTCCAACTGAAACAAAGTAGTCACATCATTTTAAAACATTGTTAAATGTAAGCCTCGGTTCTGGTAATTTTCCTTTTTCCCTCATCCCATTTCAAGTATTTCCTATTATCCCCACTACTTTTTATTGTCACGTGAGATGATGCGTCTGACCAATAACCATAACCCTTTGAGTGTCCGAGTATTCAGCCAATCAAATGCTACATATTAAATAATTTTCAAGATGGTGACCAGTAATGGAGGAAGAAACCTCTTCTGGATTGTAAGAAACGAATGGTTTACAATTTGTTTTACTATACTTTTAAAACTGCATAGATTTATTGGCTAAATTAATAAAATAGTAAAATGAATTTGTGTTTTATCATAGATTGATACTCACTTAGTATACTTTTGTGAATTATTTAATAGGTTATGATATTTTCATTGTAATTTTGTTTCTTTTTTGCGAATTAGGGTAATCTTTCATCCGCCCAATTGGAACGCAACAAGACGAAGGAACAACTCGAGGAAGAGAAAAAGATATCTTTGAGTATTCGTATCAAACCATTAGAAATTGAGGGTTTGTCGATCGATAAATTACGTTACAAGGCCACCGAACTATGGGATGCTATCGTTAAACTAGAAACCGAGAAGTACGATCTCGAGGAGAGACAAAAACGTCAGGATTACGATGTGAGTTGTCTACCGTAATGACATTTCTCATTATCTGCATATTTTTTATTACATTAAATTGGCCAATACTTGATCTACTTTCGTCTTAACGATTCGAACTATACAAAAAGTTACCCTGATCACCCGGAGGTAAAAAAAGTAATCGATTTTTAATTATCTTGAAACTTTTTCCCTCATCATCCTGTAGAAAATAAAACATCGATTCTAAAGTAAAATCGCGTTTAATAAAAATGAGAAAAGTTCACGTTAATTTCCATGAGAAATAAAATTAAATTAAAATTTCGATATTAAATTAGGTTTAGAAAAATTTTTGAGTAACTATTCTGGATCAATTTGTAAAAGATCAATTAAATGAATAAACAATATGTATCAATTTATTAAAAATATAATTGTATTAAAAATAATACTTAATTAAAGTCCTTAGTTTTGAGAATGATGACTCTAAGATGGTGATCCATTGAAATTCTTCATTGCAGCTCAAAGAGTTGAAGGAACGTCAGAAACAACAGTTGAGGCATAAGGCTTTGAAGAAAGGACTCGATCCTGAGGCTCTTACTGGCAAGTATCCAGTAAGTAAAAAAACAAAATATTTTAGTACATGCTTCACAGATTATCATTCAAAGTGCAGGATTAAATTATAAACAAAATAACAATTGAAATTCTTAGCCGAAGATCCAAGTTGCATCGAAATACGAACGTCGCGTTGATACCAGGTCCTACGATGACAAAAAGAAACTTTTCGAGGGTGTAAGTATTACTCTTTCATTTATCTTTACCTTTAACCTTTCACGGGTTGTTGCTAAAGTAAAAACAGATTTTTTGAACGGTGCGATAAAAAGCAAAAAAATAGGATTGAAGTTTTGAAAGAGTAGAAAAATAGAAAAAGGGGAAGGTGTTGCGTAAAAGTTTAGATACGATGAATAAAGAAAAAGAACCGAAAAAAATGAAACCCAATAGAAAATAAAAACACATGTCCAATTGGAAACAAAAAAAGAGAATGTTTTTTGTCAGTGAGAATTGTTGGAATTGTAATCGCAGGGCTATGACACGCTTTTAGCGGAGTACAACGAGAAACTGTGGAAACAGAAAACAGAACTGTTCATGAAGCGCAACAAAAGTGAGTTGGATTCGATAGTCTCTTCTGTATAAGTGTATCAGTTCTATATCCACTTAGCCATTACCCTAGCCCTAGCCCTAGCCCCCCCTCACTCCAGATGTTCTAGCCCTACAATTTTGTCGCTTGAATTTTTTGAATGCACATCGTAAACCCTTCTACGACTCGTTGACAATGTTGACCCCCCTGCCACAGTTTTTTTGTTCTCTCGTAAGTTTGACTAAACGATCGAATTGAACCTGAATTTCTGATAAATTATCATGATCATTATTATTATTATTATTGTTGTACACTTATGATTAATTTAAATGTTGGATTTTGTTCTTTTTCTTTTTTTTTTGGAAAACACTAAAGAGCACGATTAAAAAATATCGAATGGATTATTTTGTAATGTTTAATGAAGAAAAATTTGAAATTAAGAATCCATCCACGTATTTAGCACGAAACACTGTTCGTATTTAACAGGTTCCACATAATTCCGAGGACTTGTAAGGAATAATTTTGATCAAACGTTATTGCAAATACCAACACAAGAAAGTCTATGGTTGGAATTGTCCCTGTTCGTTTAATTGAGTATATAGTTTGAAGATTTTGTTGGGTTTTATTGTAAATTAAGTTGGTATACGTATTTTACTTGGTAATCAGTGTCTTAACTTTTTGTAATAGGCAAAGGAACATTTGCCTTATTTCTAAAAACGCCCCAACCCCCTTTTTGTCACCATGAACTACCCCTCAACGCCAAGAAGAACAGAAAAAAGAAACCCAGAGAATATTATATTTCTATCTCTGAGTATAATGGTCCAGGCGTTGTTCTCGTTTAGATGTGTGTCAGTAAAACTGTATCCCTGCATGCCATTTGTGTCCGTTAATGTTACAGGGTCTGACCGAACAGCAAAAGGAAATCATGGAAAAACAATGGACCCAACAAAAAGAACAGTTCCTTGGTCGTCAAAAGAGTATGTATTCAATAATTATCCTTAAACTCTTCCAATATATTCCATACTTTCTTTATCTATATTAAATTTTTAATTATTTTATAAATACCATTTTGTGTAGGATCGATTTTACATGATTGATTAATTAAGTTAATTCGTTTCAATTGGATGTATCGTTAAGAATTTATTTGGAAGATTTCAAGGAAAACAAATGACTGACCGGTCGGCCATTTTGGTTGTTTTTCTTGGTCCAATAATGGCGGACCAGTCGGCCATATTGATTTATGTCCCTAGATGACCAATTACTTCTTCGAAGTAGCGAAATTAATTATTTTTTCGAAGAAAAAAGTATGAAAAAAAAGAAATGAAAGAATATGGGAAATGAAAGAATATAAGAAATAAAATAATATATAAATACTATAGCGAAATTGCCGAAATGGTTCGGCGAGAGGCCCGGAAAGAAAGCTGGCGATCCAGAATCACCGGAAGGTGAAGAAGATGTCAAAGCTGCGGCTGATGACGACCTGGAGGAACCACAATTCGATGAAGAAGAAGAGGAGGAGGAAGAGGAGGAGGGTGAGGAGAAGGAAGAAGGCGAAGAAGAGGAAGAGGAAGAGGAGGAAGAGGAGGAAGAAGAGGAAGAAGAGGAGGAGGAAGAGGAAGAAGAATAAAAATTGCTGCTCGGGAGCTATCATTATTATTATTATTATTAATTATTATTAATTATTATTAATTATTATTTTAATTATTATAATTATTATTATTAATATAATTACGATTACTATTATTATTATTGACCACGAGGACCTAATCTTAAAAAGAGAAAAAAAAAAACAAAAAAAAAAAGAGAAAAAGAAGAGAAGAAAGAGAAAAACTTAAATAAAATGAAATAAAATAAAATGAAATAAATGAAAAGAGTAACTAAAGAAGATAAAAATAAAAATATCTATGTACTACATACGCGTGTATGTAATTTGCGTATACACGCGTAATGAAAAAAAGAGGCCTTGAAGAGAGTGGTGTGTGTGTGGTGTGTATGTTAATAATATTCACATACGCGCTCGTATATGAACAATTTATTATTTAACATTGAAATTAAAACTGCTGCAAGCCTTGAAAAGTTTACCAAATTATATTTAACATAAGTTTAATACCCTTATAGGAATTATTTTTTGATTGAGAGATCCCCTGTATTAATAAACACCCACACAGGTCCATTTACAAGTATGGTACGAATATTCTTTTTCAGTGCACGTAGCAAAACTACCCTAAAACTTTTTAAGTCATACGAGTAGAACCCCGCGTTGTTCTTCGATTTCACGCAAATAACTATACTTTCAATATAACGATCGATACAGTAATTTTCTTCTTGGGTGTTAAAGAAAGAAACGCAAGGAAAATGATTAATATCATCTATCAATTTATTTCCTATTGTATTTTGACAAATTGTAGACATTTATTTCTTCTCTCGTAAAAAAAAAGGCAGTTGTATTATATTTATTCAATTTATTTCGAAGGAAAGGAATACAAAACGAAACAAATCTTTTCGAATTAATCTTCGAAAGGTAAAGGAAAGGCCTATTATTTCGTTCTACGAATTCCATCACGATAAAAGAAAACAAAAATTCAAATCGAATCTACGGGGAATCTGAAAATGTAATATATATCTAAGATTAAAAAGAAAATAATTAGAAATACGAATCTTTATATGAGACAAAAGTTTGATGGAAACATCGGAACAAGTTGCATCGACAAAAATTCTCTATAATCCGGATTTTTCGTTCGTGTATATTTGAGGAAATACGAGAAGTAGTAGGAGAGAGACAGACAGAAAGAGAGAGAGAGAGGAAAAACCAGTGAGAGGTCATACGTGAGTATTTCATGACGGAGGGAAAAAAAATCATAACGGTAGCACTTTTCTTTCCTTCCTTTTTTTTTCCAACTCACCCTCGCTCTCCCTTCCTTTTTCTTTTTTTTTTTTTTTTATTTCAATGTGCGGCCCCAGAGGTTTCTAAACAGGCTCACTTGACCCCGACCTTTTACTCGAGTATTCTCTCTTCTATTACGAGTGTGCTCCGATGTTGTAGCTCGAAAATAACCGAGCGAGCCACAGCAACCGCTCCTTTATAACGATTTTTCTTCTCCTCTCTCTCTCCCTCTCTCTCTCTTCTTTCTCTATCTTCCTTTTTCTTTTTCTTTTGTATCCTTTTATTTCTACGATCGATATCCACCGTTTATTCTCATTCTATCTCTCCTACAATTTTTATATATTTTATTGTAAAAGTAAATCAAATTACAATATGATAATACATTTGATAGTAAAAATAAAAAGAACGAGAGGTATACGTTTGTTCGAATTAAAAAATAAAAAACAAAAGAAAAAGGAAAGAAAAAACGTAATAATAAATTGATCATATATATATATATATATATATATATATATATGTGTACTGGTATCCTATTTCTAATGGATTCAATTTAATTATTGATCTATATAAGGATTCCAAAGGTATCTAATCAAATATATATTTTCTTGATATATATACTCGTTGCAATGGTGGGAATATTGAACTGTCTGGTCGTCTATAAATGGTGACTAAAGATTCTAAATATGTCTTTACCACTATACAACAGAGAAAGCAATAATTTTAAATGTATATTAGTATGGGTATACGTGTATATGTGTGTGTGAGAGAGAGAAAGAGAAAGAGAGATATAGAAATGACGTGACATCGAACTAAACCAAGAATAAAGAGGAACCTATCACATTTCGTTGGATAAAACAGGAGTCTGCTTACGTATGGATAAGTATATAAAGTAACACACACATACATACATATTTATACATATTTATATATGTATAGTCTGATCTATACGTAAAAGGGAGAACGGCAGGATGAAAAGTAATGAGAAGAGGATTCAGTCGGCATCAATATTCCATTCAAGTTTTCCTGCGTCGGTATAATAGTTAGACATTTTTCATTCTATCTCTCTCATTCTCTTTATACTTCATTGTATTCCTCATTTTACCGACAGAAACAGCCGGTTAAATATCTTACACATATCAAGCATTACTTTTTTTACATATATATATTATGTATATATATATATAGTTTGTGTTAGTCTCATAAGTGGAAGGACTAACCTCTAAATTGAAAGAAGATTTTAAGTTACTAGGCTTCTTCTGCGCATCGTGTTCTGCGCATCGTATTCCACGCATGCACAATTTTAATTCGATTGAAAATTATATTTATAAATGTTTCAATGATTAATTAAATATTACATATGATTATATTATTCGTTTGACAAATAAATTCATCGAATAATATAATTAAATTCATCAAATTGTTCATTAGTTTAATTTATAATTATTGTTTTATTACCGAAATTAATTGTTAGCGCTTCCCCATTGAAAGAATTTTTGCGCATGCGCACAACTCATCTCGCAGAAAAATGGAGTTATAAAAAATCAAGTTATAATTATTTCCTTTACTATAATTAATGATCAAATAATTAAATATTTACTAAGAATATATTGATAAATAAATAAAATACGGTTCTCTCTCTCTCTCCTTGCGTTTTATATTTTATTGCAAATCTTGTTTTACGGAGAGGTTAGTTTCTTTATACCCACACAAACGTGTACGTAACATGTGACATATAAATATTTCCGTCCATATAAATTAATTGAAATGCATTACACACACACACACACAACATACACACAAAGGGTAACGAAAAATTGAATATTAATGAGAGAGTGAACGAATGAAAGAGAAAGAGATGGAGAGATTTCCAGTAACTATTAATAATAATGGCGGCCGGCTCAAGTAGGACCATGCTCGTGTATTTCTTTCTCTCTCTCTTTTACATCTCCTTCTCCGTGATTTCCGTAGTAAGAGACCGGTTCGATAGTAGCCTTCGTTTAAATAGTGTACCGTGTTAGTACATTCACATTTATCGTTCAATAATACTTAAAAAAGGAATTCATTTAAGTTTTCCCTAAATAATTCATTGGCAATGATACGATTTAATATTAGCTCACCTGGGTTATAGATTAAAGTGCCGAAAATAGATTGTCAAATGTTGTTGGTTGAGAGAGAGGGAAAGAGAGAGAGAAAAAGAGAGACGCCTTTGTTGCTAAAAAAACTGGTAACTTGTCAGTAAGCGCCATTGAACATCAGTTTGACCAACCCCCAGTAAACAAACAGCACCAAATATTAAACCCTAACACGATTTTCCACTAAGAAAACGGGTGTATTTAGTATGTAAGTATATGCATACACGTATAATATGTATGTGTTAATTAAAGAAGTATATATAAATCTTGACTATTAACGTCATTCGATGGTTAGGTACGCGCGCGAGCGCGCGCGCGCACCCTGACGCGACCTGTTGCCATTTTTTTAACCACTTTTCTAATAGTCCAATCTAATTTACCGACTGAGTCGAGCATACGAGGTATTATCAATTTCGTTGTGTGTCCGTGGGCTATCTTTTTAAAGAGCACCCGCATGTGTGTATATGTGTGTGTGTGTGTGTGTGTATGTGTATACCCGCGTCTGATAAGAAAAAAAAAAAATAAGAAAAATTAATATTAACAACGATGTGAATAGTTAAAGAAAAAGGATTTTGTTATAAGATTTTTATTTGTAACATCAGGAAGAGGAAGAGGATTATAAGTTTGTCATGGCGGTGATCATACAAGAGGACGACGAAAGATACGTTTGCGTTGTTGACATGGCTACCGTGCTTGCTACCAAGGAACGAAAGAGAGGTAGAATGAGGAGCTGACTAAGACGAGGCTTGCATACGAGAAAGTCCTCCCAATCGATGAGGTAAGTTATTTCTTTTCGTTGACAATATTTCATCTCTTATTTTCCCCAATTTTCATTGATATTTTTGTATGTTTCATACTTTTTTCCCCTAAATTTCGTTTTATTTTTCGATAAATAAAAAATATATATGACAGAAAGTGTATATAATACAACAGTCTCTGACGTTGTCAACGACTGTCCTTTATTGGTATACTACTACTTACTTAATACTCTTACTACTACTATTACCGTTACTGTTATATTTCTTCTTCCTCTACCTTTTTAACAAAGCGGCATGGTGTCACTCTCTCTATACGTGTTTTCAGCGCTGCGACCGGTATCTGTATGAGTGGGGAACATGCGCGAAATTCGACAGCGTCGCTTTTTACCCTCTCCCCCACTTCTCGTAATTCCTATTCGACCGTATTTATGCATTCCCCACGAACACAACCGAATGTTTACGAACGGTGGTCGCGCGTGCGAGCACGCGTACGTCTTAGCTTGCATCAATGTTCGGTCAAGTTCGTATATTTTCGTATATTTTCGTATTAACCGCGAAATTTCAGCCGTCTAATTCGGTCCCTCCAGTTGCGTTCACAAACGCGAATTAGAATCACAACCACGGCATTAGATTTAGAATAATTCTTCGTTACTTCCCTCTTAGGATTTTGTCAATCCTTCAATTTAATCGTCATTGTATTTTTCTTTTTCTTTTTTTTTCTTATTTAAGTACAATTTTTTTAACAATTGTTCCGAGAAGTCCGTACTTGGGAATACACAAAGTTTTCCTCTCATTTATTGGTAAGTAATTTATATTTTGTATTATTTGTTATATATTTGTTAAAATAATGATTAAAACTGTGTAATTTTCTTTTTTTCGATTGATCGATAAACCAAAAACAAAAAAGAAAAATCATTGTGAATTATAATAGATTTAAATATCTACCATCGTTTATCCTCGGTTGATTTATTTTTCTTAGTTACGTGTGTAAAACTATTGTAATATAAAAATAAATCATCTGGCTTGTAACAACACAAAAGATTGCATAATTACTCGTTGCAAATGATTCAAACGTTTGTTCGAAATGAAAATAATCCAATTATTATTATCCTACCAACCCGTTGAAACATAAAATCTACTCAAAAAAAAAATACTGTACATTAAACAACACACAGATACACACACGCACTATACGCGTTGCATAAAACGTTTCGAATAAATTGGTTAGACAATTTTAATAGATTTACAATGCAATTAATAATAAACGTTACCTCGTTTCATTTCTGACCATAGAGTAACAAATATTATCGACGTTATACATGAAAAAAATATATAAAAGGAAGAGTTTTATGGAGAATTGCATTCAATGTATACGGATATGTGTAAGTGTGTATACGTGTACAATGTATGTCAACCGGTTCAATAAGTTTCATATCACCTTGATGTTCGTTGTAAATCTGTCGTTGTTATAAATTGTTGTCCACCCCTTTCCCTCCTCGTCCCTTTTGCATCCCCTTTTCTACCCTTAGATTCTCAAACCCTTTCTTTACCCTCCTCCTTCAACTCTGTATACCATTTAACGTGTATTCAATTTGCACAATAATTCTCAAATACCTTAACGCAGGAAGCATCACGAGGCAAAGTTAATTGAAATTACTGCTAAAGACCCTGAGGCACGTTTATTAAAAACCGTGATCAGTTGTAACACGTTTTTCTTCTTAAGAATGAAGCATTTAAAAAGAGAAAGAGAAAGGGGTAGAGAGAGAATAGAAAATTGCAATCATTCGAATAATTTATGCGAAGTGAATTGTGTATATATAATAGTTAATAGATAAAATATTTAATCGATTAATATTTTTGTTAGAGATATAAAAAGTCCAATGCAATTTACTTATAGGATTTGATTTTTATAATAATAATAATAATAATAATAATAATAATATTCGGGATCAATAATATACATATTTTCGTAATTTTATTTTAATTCGTTTATTTTTTGATATACGTGATAAAATTATTTTCTATTCATCTAGTTGCAACTTTAAAATAATATTGACTAATAATAATCTGTGTAAATATTCTGATAGAGTTAGTTACTGTTACAAAGTTTTCAATTTTTTCTAACAATTATTTTGACAGGAAACAAAACAATCGATTATTATTCGATGCCAAAAACCAACCCCTCAACGTTGACTTGAAAAACTTGGGGGATATTTTTCTTTTTTACATTTATTTCGAACCATACGTTCCTCAGGGAACATAAAAATTATTAAAATATCTAAAATTATGATCACGTTAATATATATATATATATATATATGTTATGTTATAATGTTAGGGGGTAACATTTTTCTTATTTTTTCTTTTTAACACGTAGTATGTTACATAAGAAGGATCGATCGATCATAAGGGTGTCGTATTTCGTTTCTTTATGTTAGCACTTATGCGTACGTGTATGTATCTATGTGTGTGTGTGTGTGCGTGCGTGTTTTAGAAAGAGAGAGATATTTGATGATTAAGCACGGAAAAGTGAAATGAGAACGGAACGTGACAGAGTAGACCTTTTTCCTCTTTCTCCTCAACCCCCCCCCCCCAATTTTTTTTTACTCTCCCCCTTTCTCTTACTAAATACTTTTCCTACTTCTCGGTAACTTATTATACCATTATTTCGATCTACCGTGTTTTACTGAAGTATCTTCGAGTTATTGGAGAGATAATCTTCAGATAATCTGATACTTAAAATAGATGAAACCTTAAATGGATTTCTTTTTCAAATCATGCATTTTATCATTTTCATTTATAAATTGATTACTCAAAGATGTATCATTTATTTATCTAAATTATTATACAAAATTATATAAAATATGTGTGTTGGTAGTAATAATTATTAATGAAAACAATGATGTATATTTGATTAAAAAAAAAACAGAAAAGATTGAAATGAATAATGCATTTATTAATTGAACCGAAAGTAGACGTGCATTAATACTTTAAAACAAATCATTGTCAGTATATATTTGAACACACATAAATCACAGGTGAATATTTAGAACGAAGTTTCCATTATTACACTTACGTGTAAGAGATATACATATACACACGTAGAAATGTTCATAATGCATATCCAAGAACGGGTGGGTACCCCATTCATATTGGTTTCTCAAACATGCTATTGTCAAGTATACAGGAAATTGAACGAGTGCTACTAAGAGATTGAATGCATTTTGCAATTTTGTGCTGAAAGTGAGAAACACACAATTACTATCGTTGCATGCATCCTTGCACACACATATACAGTATATGTTAAGAAAAAAAACAAACAAACAACAACAATTCAAAGCCAAATACAAACACAAATTCAACAAGAGATACGAAAGAAACAAAAGGAAAGCAGTTATTTGGAGCACAGTGGTTCTTAAAAACAGGGGTTGGTCCCCCTTAACCTTAGTAAACAGGATTGTAAAGAAAAATTTCAAAAGGGGCTTCGCGAAGCAAACAAATGTCTAAGAATCTACTGATTAAAATGAACAATTGAAAAATACCTTAAAACAGAAATGAATAAGGTGGATAAGAAAAAATAAATATATATATAATACATTTTAAACTGTGTTCTCGCAATTAGTATACCATTGGTATGATGGAACACATAAGTTAAATAGCTTTAAAACAAGACAACAATAATGAAAGAAACTAAAAAGAAAATGAAAGAAAGAACGAAAAATATGGAAACGTGTTAACTAGTGCACCCATTTCTGACAGAATGCACATTTATTCAAGCGTAATGCGGAAACTGTGTGTGATGTATGTTCTCTCTCTTTCTCTTTTTCTTTATTTCTGTCTCTCTTTCTCTGTCTGTGACTCATCTTGCACACCTATATGATCTCTTTGTGTTGATACTTTAGACAGTGATATATATATATATATACGAAAGACAAAATTTATTTTTCGATACACCTCGAGCGTGTAGCGTTATCGTTTTTAATAGAAATAAAAAAAAAATAGAAATAGAAAATAGAATAAAGAATAATAGTTTACCACGTTAGTACACATATTTAGTTTTTCCATTTCATAGAAATTTTCTTTCTTTTTCTTTCGTATAATATCTTTAAATATAATTAATTGAATTATTTTCATGAGTGATTATTCTTCAATGCGATATTAAATATGATTTGCACATGCAGCAATTAATTATATTTATTTCTTATATTTTGTTGTTGTCTACTGTGGCTTTGAGAAATTGTTTGATTTAAAAGGGGGGTATTAAAAGGAGACGTTTTTACAGTCTGCTTTTCTTTCAAACGTATTTATAAACGCAGGGATGCATTTGAAAGACGAGAAAAAAGTAAAAAAAAGTTAAAAAGAGTTAAGTGTAAGAGAAAGAGAAAGAGAGAGAGATGCTTTAGAATCTAGCACCGTTGTGAGTGGTGCAAACACGGGTTTGTAGGGTTTTTTGTATTTTTCTTTTTCCCCCATTCAGGTAAGGTGTCGTTCTTCACGTACGTTCTTCTTCTTCACCACCGAGTTAGTGTTTATCTTCTTGCATCATACGTTTCTTTTTACATTCAAATACCAAAAGATGATAGAAGAAGAAGGAGGGATTCTACTGGAGTAGGATTGACTAGAAAGAAAAAAATGCGTCAACTTTTCTAGTACTTTACTTTTTGGTTTTGACTGTACCCTTCTATAACTTTCCTTTCTCTTCTATTTTTTTTTTCTTTTTTTTCTTCAGTTTGAGCAATCGAGAAGTATCAGAGAGTTATATAATTATAATATAAAAATGTGTTTAACATATATAAAATTTTTTTCATTTGATTTGATTTCGTATTTTAAATACACACGCACGCACACAACAAGAAAAGTAAAGAAATATATTATTACGATAATGCATTATCTGTTCAACGTTTTTAAAAAGGTAAAATCCTATAAGAGAGGAAGATTAATATACATAACAGGTGTTCTTAAAAGAAGCCCACTATTGAAATATTTTAACGAATCGTCTTATATACGATATTCATTTTATACTTTGATTTATTTTCTTTAATTTTTCATTCCTTCTTTTTTTTTTTTTATTATTATATCCGATCGATAAATAATTCGAATAACATTTTTACTTTTCTTCCTTTTTTTTGAAGTTTCGTTTGTAAATTCTTTCGTATATTCTTTTACGCAGAATGTCATAGTTAACCCAACGTAATGGTATTACGGAATTATAGAAAATAGAATAGAGAATTTGTAGGCTTCCCAATAAGAAGGAAGAAGCCATAGGATTTGGATTTTAACAAAGTTGCCTCCGTTAGTCAGTCGTACTTTCGAAATTAG